CACTGACCCGAATACCAACCACTGAAAAGACTTGCCTCCCCCAAGACTAGGGTTCCGTGAGGTCAGCTGTATTCTCTGTGCCTCAGCCAGTGCTCGGTTCTTAGAAGACTCTTTAATGTTGCTGAATGAATGAGCCACTAGCTCCACAGCTACTATTTCTAAACAAGACAGATGTATTCGGTGCTGTGATTTACTACAGCAATCCAGAAGTGTGTTATCTGTCTCGTCTCACTGAGGACCAGGGCTCAGGAATGTTAAGCAACCTGTCAGGCTCACACAGTGATGGGACTAGGATTCAACTCTAGATCTAATGTCTCAGGCCAATGCCTGAGTATTTTCTCCTACAGAGTGGAAACCAGTTCTATAACTTCAAAAAGGGCTTCAAATTGTTACAGAATGGACCAGTGACAGGGAATGATATACTATTACTGAATGGACCCCCCCTTTTTCCAGGGTCCCCCTGTACTAGGTTTGCCTTGCCCACCGACAGGGAATTATAGCTCTCAATGATTGGTGAAAAGGAAAAGAATTATTTATTCAAAAGTTATACAGACTTAAAAGTAATGACTTAATGTCTTCATTAAAATCCCAAAGTCCCTTAAAACACCCAAAAACACACGCAGTCCTTCCTTCCCCCCTTTGCCCAGTCTGGGGTATTGTATCTCAGGAAAAGAAATAGAAGTCTGTGGCTCTGGTAGCCCCCAGCTCTTCCCAGTAATCCGTGCTCAGCTGGCATGCCTCCTGAGGTTCCCAGCACGATCAGCTGTGTTGTCATCTCTATCTCCAGTTCTCAATCCAAACCTGAGTGGCACCTTCTCATGGCCCCTCAGCAGGAGTCCTTTCACCCCTTTCCTTGTTCTGCAATGACATACAATGTCTCCTCTGCATTCTTCCAAACTGCTAGGAGAGAGCTCTGCAATGCTGCTACATCTTGCTTTCCAGCTTCCTAAACTGCATGGCAAAGGGAGGCCCAAAGCTGCGTGGGTCCTCCTTTTCGCATGGCTGCCACGCCTGGGTTTAAATTCCAGCACCAATCTTCCTCTGAAGCCCCATTTCTGACTCCGCCCACAATCGGCTACACCTGCCAGCACTCCCGTATTTTCCAGCCTTTCTGGGCTGCCGTAGTAAGTCTGGGCAGGCGTGGCCCTATGGCATGGAACCAGTCATCTCCAAGCTCTCACACAAATGCTGTAACTAGGAAGAGTTGCCTCCCAGTTATGTCCTGGGTTGAAGTCACTCCCATCTCCCTGGCTCAAAGCAAGTCCACAGCTATTTAACATAACCATGAGGCTGGTCAAAAGTTATAGATATATTAAATGACCATTCCTGAGGTTATTTGCAAAACTGTTGCTATGCAAAACAGCTGTCAATGGCCCTGCTCCTTGTGTCTCATACCCCAGTTCAGATTTGTGGGGGTGAGGACATTGTATATTTTTAAATATTTCCTGGACACCCTGAGTTCTGGACCCCATTACAAATCCCTATCTGGAGGCCCCCCTGGCTGCACCCCATTATAATATATAAAAAAGGAAAACTCCAAGAGTGCAGATGCAGATTCTTTTATTTAGAATAAACATCTTTATTACAGTTTACACTCAACATTGTTTTATATCAGTTTCAGGCGCACAGCACAGTGGTCAGTCAGTCATTCACTTCACCAGGTGCCCCCCCCACCCCATGTTTCCAGCATCTGCCTGGCTCCACCCATAGTCATTACAATGTTATTGACTTTATTCTTTAAGCTCCACTTTACATTTCCATGAATATTTTGTAACCCCCGGTCTGTACTTCTTAATCCCTCCACTTTTTCACCTAGCCCCTCAACCCTCCTGGCAACCACCAGTCTGTTCTGCGTCTGAGTCTGTTTCAATTTTGTTCATTTACTTATTTTATTCTTTAGATTCCATATGTAAGTGGAATCCTATGGTACTTGTCTTTCTCTGTCTGACTTATTTCATTTAGCATAATACCCTTTAGCCCATCCCTGTTGTCACACAAATGGTAAGATTTCATTCTTTTTTATAGCTGAGTAATATTTCATTGTATAAATGTACCACAGCTTTTTTATCCACTCATCTACTGATAAGCCCTTGGGCTGCCTCCATATCTTGGCTATTGTATATAATGATGCAGTGAACATAGGGGTGCATGTGTCCTTTTGAATTAGTGTTTTGGGTTTCTTTGGCTATATTCCCAGAAGTGGAATAACTGGGTCATAAGGCAGTTCCATTTTTAATTTTTGAGGACCCTCCATACTGCTGTCTACAGTGGCTATACCAGTTCATGTTCACACCAGCAGTGCATGAGGGTTCCCTTTTCTCCACACCCTTGCCAACACTTGCTTGCCAACACTTGTTGATTTATTGATGATAGCCATTCTGACAGTTGCCAGGTGATATCTCATTGTGGTTTTAATTGACATAATTCTCTGATGATTAGTGATGTTGATCATCTTTCAGAATGTCTGTTGTCCATCTGTATGTCCTCTTTGGAGAAGTGTTTATTCAGGACCTCTGTCCATTTTTAAATTGGATTTTGGGGATTTTTTTTTTTTGGTGCATATGCCAGAATTCTAAAGACACTATTTTCGCATTTCTTCCATTTGCATTTTACTGAGAACCTAGAAATATGGAACTGGCCTAGATGTCCCCAGCCTTCTGAGTGGCCCTGGATGGCAGCTCTAGTGTCAGGGAGAGGAAAGGTTCCTCAGCCAGAAGACCAGGGTGTCCTTGCCAGGCCACTGCTGAATGTAGGGGCCTGTGTGTGTGGGGACTGGGCAGTCCGAGGTGGGCAGGCGCCCAGGCCCAGGCAGCGAGTCCCACACTGGTAGGTGAGTGGCAGCATGAGTCTGAGGATTCCCGGGAACTGGATTCCTGGGAGGCCTCCCATGCTCATGTCCTCTCTGTTGTCCCCGTGCTTTGGGTAGAGCCGCACCTGCACCTGTGGACACGCGTCCCTCCCTGGGCTGAGAAGAGAAGGCCCTGCACCCTGCTTGACCCAGAGCACAGCGAGGGGCAGGCCAGGACCGGAGAGTCCAGGGCGCAGAATGAGCACATAGTGCAGTTGCTCCCCATCCCTTCGCTTCTCTACTCGGAGGAGCTGATTTGTGGAAAGAGCCATCTTCTCTGCAAGAAAAGCCTTCAATGATAAAGGTGTAATGCGGTGCAGCCAGGGCCCCCTCAGATGAGGATTTGAAATGGGGTCTAGAACTCGGAGTGTCCAGGAATTATAAAATATAGGATATCCACCCTGGCTGGTGTGGCTCAGTGGATTGAGCACTGGACTGCAAAGCAAAGGGTCGCCTGTTCAATTGCCAGTCAGGGGCACATGCCTGGGTTGCAGGCCGGGTCCCCAGTAGGGGACATGCAAGAGGCAACCACATATTGATGTTTCTCTCCCTCTCCTTAAAAAAAAAATCATATATATCCTCACCCCTACAAGCCTGAATTGGGGGATGGGACACATGGAGCAGGGCCATTGAGTTATTTTGCATAGCAACAGTTGGCCAGCTTTATATCTGATATGCAAAAACAGTTATTTTACATATCTATAACTACTGGCTAGCTTCACATAGCTAGAAGTGAGTGTGAGGAGCAGCACCAAGGGCGGGGGTGGGGAGAACATGACCTTTCTCCAGCCAGGGAGCACTGACCTCAGACTTGCCTTTCAACAGGGAGCTGGCCTTTCTAAGAGGCCTTGGAGCTTTGAAAGGCTGTCTGTCCACCAGGGTTGCCAGGTCCCAGGCATGTCCCTTGCTATCTGGGGATGGGTTTGCTGCCATAAAGCAGCAGTTGGGGGAGTTCTGGACCTCATTACAAATCCTTCTTTTAGGGGCTCCCTGGCTGCACCCTCCTACAAAGCCACAGAATTTTTCAGCCAGTGTGATCATCAATCAGGGACAATTCACTCCAGTGACCACAGTTCTGAAAATCACCCCATCAGCATCCACTGCACATCAGCCACCACCCTCAAGCTGAATGAAAACACTCTCAACTCTGAAAATCCCCTAGTCCCTGTGGACTGTGATTCCCAAAACACTTTGTCAGGTCACCAGCTTGGCTCAGAGAGACTGTCTTGCAAACTCTCTGGTACTTAAGCACATAATAGATGAAGTTTTCCATCGCAGCTTTGGAGTGGCCCTTTCTTTCTTCAGCAAGTGGTTTTGACAACCAAATCAGGTCCCCTGAGAGTCCGGTTTCCCTGGGCTCTTTCTACAAAGGCTGAAATACATTGCAAAAGCCTGTGGAAGTCCTGACTTGTCTTTACTTGTCTTGAGTCTTTGTGGGCAGAGATCTGAGAGCTATATAATAATTCATTTTAACAACTTGACTTTGATGTTGAGCCTCCCCCACCCTGCTAGGAGCAGGTCCAGTATTCTGCACCTGGGCCCTTAGCCCTGAAAGGTAAGCTGTTCCACTGGGAAAGACCTGGGGATCTGAGAGTCCCAGATGCACCTACAGGAGGATTTAGCCTTCACCTCCCCATGGGACACACTGTGGAAGAATCGTGTGGATGTCTGGGCAGGAAATTGGTGAGAGTGGAGCCAGGGATGGGGGAGATTTGGCCAATGTCCCTGGAACACCCTCAGGCAATTGGGACAGGGCCTCCCATGAATTTTCAAAACAGGAGAAAACTGCCCAGCTGAAAACTGCTGTCCTGAACATGGGGTCCCTGGTCAGAATTCAGGGGGACTTATTTTCACTAAGCTCTAGCTGTAATATAGCCATTCTTCCTGTGATGAACGGAGTAGCAAAGCACAGTTGGATTAGCAGGACCGTGCCTTGGCCCAGACACCTGGCCTACTTCCCAAAAGACAGTGACATTGTTTAGCTCTACTGCAGTGAAGAAGTATATAAGCTATATTTCATAATTATCAACACGACTGATTTTCTTTCCTATCTGTCCTGTTTTTCTCCTTCCGAGGACCAGCAGAGGGTGTCATTGAGGAGCCCAGCGGGACTGGGGGCTTGGAGAGATCGGAAGGGCCCTGGGCGGGGCAAAGGCCAGACCAGGAAGCAGCTGAGCAGCCCTGGAAATGCAGAGCTTTCAGTGGCCTAGGACCCGGTTTGGGAGCTTTGACTCCAGGCCACTGGCCTCATAGATGAAGACGGTCTCTGCTGGGACCAGTGCCCGGAGGCAGCGTGCCAGTCTGGCGGCTGGGGTCCAGCGGAGCACAGCATGCCCGTTGCTGCTGCTCTTGTTGGAACTGGTGCTGGAGAGCACAGCAGGTGATTGGTGGCGGAGGGGCACAAATCGTGGGGCACAGTCACCATCACGCGCAAGCCGAGTGCGGTTGGGGGTGGAGGAAGGCGTTGGAGAGTGGCTGAGACTGCGGAGGCCGCCTTCGGGCTTGGGGCGGGGGGGGGTGGGGGGGGGGCATGGTGATTTGGAGAGCAGAATCTGTAGGGGACGCTGAGCCCTGGGCTAGGCAGGGATTCTGTTTGCCATCTGCCCCTGCAGCCCTCAGGTCGGAGTGAGAGGCCAGCAGGTGGGGACCGCACTAGGCTTCCGGGGGCCGGGTCCTCCAGGAAGGACCGGGACAGGCTCCTTGGAGACAGGGATCTGAGGGCGGCCGATAGGTCCTGTCCTCTAGCTCAGCCGGGCTCGGGCCCTTCGCGGTGGCTCTCCCTGGACCCACCTCAGCAAGGCTGTCTCAGACAGCAGGGGCCCCCCGTGGAATTTCCATTTTTTCCCAGTTTCAATTTTGCTTGCAGAGCTGGCTCGGCCTGACCTCATCCTGGATTCCCCACCCCTTGAAAGGGCACAGCCCATCGCGGCGCGCACAGTGCTTCTTTGCACGGGCAGAGAAGTGCACACCACCGTAGCAATAATAATAGCTGGGGTCCTTTATGCCAGCCGGTTATAAGATCTCCACTTACAAGAATCCATTTCCACTTTTCAGAACATCAATTTACCATCCACAGATTTAAAATATGGCCCAGAGCGGACACTAGGTGGCAGCACTGGGATGTGGGGTTGGAGTTCTTAAACCTTTCATGCCTTACATCTCACAAAGTTTTTAATACATAAAAAGAAATACATAGGAATACAAAGAAATCCAATTATGTTTCAAGAAACCTATTAAAAATTTAACCTAGAAATATAAATTTGTGAAATGTAATATATGTGCTTCTAAGTTACATTTATAATGCATAGCAGCAGGGCTAGCAACTCCCATTGCATGGAAGTAGTGAGGAGGGGAAAGCGTGTTCCCAGGTGTCTGCAACAGCTGTCACGGGATTCAGAAACACCTGTGGCTTGTATGGAACCAAAGTGCAGGTTCTGCTAACTCTGCTGTGCATTGTGCCTTCAATCCTCATGAGAGGAGAGGCTAAAAGTCAGCTAGAAGTCTGTGAAAACAAAGAGGTTCTTTTTCTCCCCGAGTCAAGGATCCAGAACTCGAGTTTTCAGGTTCACACAGCCTGGGGGGATTTGTGGACCCCAGGGTAAGAATGCCAGCCCCTCTTACAGCCCCTCCCTGGTGCACTGTGGGGCACACCTGTGGTTCATGTTGTGCGTGGTAGTCATGGTCATGGGTGTATGGCACAGGCCCTGTAGCCTGGTGGGGGCAAAGAATCAGGGCTGGCCCAAGGGGATGGGGCCCTAAGCCAAGGAGGCAGGAAGAAGTGGAGAAGTAACCTCATTTGTGAGCCAAACTGTAGGAGGGAGATGGCACATGGGAGGGACAAAGCCAGATGTCCCTGACAGGCCCCCTCACACTGTTCCTGGATGCCCGCCTTCCATTCAGGAGCTGAGGAGTGAGGAACTGGCTTTTAGGGGACAGATTTGTGAGTGCTGCAGCAGGCAGCGGAGCCTCATAGCACACTATACTGATTCAGTATATCTCCATGGTAAACATAGGAAAACTGAGGCTCAGAGATTATCTTGGCTACCTAAGGTCATACAAAGTCCCATTGGCTGGTTAGGATTTGGACCCCAGGAGGCTAGCTCTGGAGTCCATGCTGCCTCGGGGCAAGAGCCAAGGCAGAGCGTCGTGACCAGATGAGAGGCAAGAAGGCAGAAGTAATCAGTGGCCCTCGGGACCAAGACAGCTCGAGACAGAATAATTAAGGTGAGCAATTACAAAGCTGGCTACTAAGGCAAAGCTGGAGTTAGGGGTTATGGGGTGAGACCAGGATGCAGGAGCTCTTGGGTGTAGGCCTGAGCAGCTGGCTGGGTGTGCTGCTGGCACTGAGGTGGGAGCAGTGTGAAGGGCAGGCTCAGGGAGGAGGGACCTCAGAGGCTAGCGTGCCACGCTGAGAGGCATGCTCCTAAGGGGACTTGACGAGCTGGGACCTGAGACTTCCCGTGGTCTCCCTCTGCCCTTCCCTTCCTCCTCCTCAGGTGCTTCTGCAGGCCCTTCTCATTGTGCTTCCCCCACCCTTCCTTCCATGGCAGGCTCATGGACTCAAGGCCCCCTCCACACTGACCACAGTGGTGTCCTTTCCTGTCCGGACTAATTTGACGGATGCTTTGAATAGCAGCCCCTCACATCAGACATGATTCTAGGCACATTGCAATATTAACTTAGTTATAATGTTGCAATATTAACTTATAACTCTCACAACAATCCTATTATCCTCCACTTTATGATGGAGAAACTGAGGCATGAAGAGGTCATAGAGCCCCTTCTTTCCTCCCCAGACTCATCTTGAAATTTTTCATTCTGTCCTTGGCCTTAGTTTTCCTAGATTTCCTTAGTTTTCAGTCTTCTTCCGGGCATTTCTGCTTTGCTAATTCTTTTTGCCAAGAGCAATGGTTTTCAAACTTTAGAGTCACCTAAGAGTCACCTAGAAGGCTTGTGCACTGCAGAAAGCTGGGCCCCACTTCCCAAGTTTCTAACTCACTAGGGTTGGGACCTAAGAATGTAAGTTCTGCCCTGGCTGGTGTGGCTCAGTGGATTGAGCGCGGGCTGCAAACCAAAGTGTCGCAGGTTCATTTCCCAGTCAGGGTACATGCCTAGGTTGCAGGCCATAACCCCCAGGAACCGCACATTGATGTTTCTCTCTCTCTCTAAAAATAAATAAAATCTTTCAAAAAAAAAAAAAAAAACAATGTAAGTTCCCAGGTGATGCCGATGCAGCTGGTCCAGAGGATAATGCCTGAAGACTAGAATGTTCTTCCCTCCTCACCTACTCCACTAACTGGAAAATCACAGCTGGTGAGGTTTTCTCTGGGTCTCAGCCTACAAGACCCCTGACCCAGCACCCTCCTGTCCCCATGGCATTACCAGCACCTGGTACCTCCTGCACCCCACACTTATCAGCTCCTACTGGAGCTGGTTGTTTGTTTAATTGTACCCCTCCCTGCCAGACTTGACCTCCCTTGGGGCCATGTCTGCCTCAGGTCATTTCTGTCCCCACACCACCACCACCCCAAGCTGGCTCTGTGCCTGGTGAGTGGTAGGTGCTCAGTAGATGTTTTTCAGACCAGTGATACTGCAAGGGGAGAGGTCAGGGCTGGCAGTGCTGATGGGGTGCACATGTGGGCCAGGAGGTACAGCTTCCACCTGGCAGCACATGAACGGCACCTGGGAGCTTTCAAAACCTGCCAGTGTCCAGTGCCCCTCCCCACAGAACAACTAAATCCAAGGTTGTCAGAGCTGCTGGGTGATAATTGGGGGCAGAAGAGGGGCAGCCCAGCCTTGGCTTCCCCCGCCTCAACAGTCAGGACCCACCTTACAGGAAATGCAAGTAAAAGCACCATGCATCTGAACAATAAAAAAAAATTAAACAAACAAAAAAACCCCACCATGCATCAATACTTAAAAAGCTCGGGAAGCGCAACTGGCACTGAGGCCCAGCACTCCCCTTGTTGACTTTGCGCCTGCATACTGGGGAAGTTTCCAGCGACTCAAGGCCAGGCCCCAGGTCCCTCTTTGCTTCCAACATACCTCTCTAATTGCCATTCCATGCCCTCTCTCCCAGCAGACACGAGGGTGTATAGGATATTTGTGCCTGGAGGTTCATACTTCCCTTTTCCGTTTCCCCCTTGCAGAGAGCCCCTGGGCGCTGCCTGTGGTAGCTGATCGCCCAGCATCCTTCGCAAAGGTTGTGATGGCAGAACTGGCCAACCTGAAGCCAGAAAACAAGTCGTGGCCTGGAGGTAAGGTCCTGCCCGCCTGCTGGTCAGACAGGATGGCAGAGGCCAGGAGCCCTTGCTTGCAGGAGGGCCTTTCTGCAGTCTTGGAGTCTGTGGGCTGGCTCAGGGAATGGGGACTGTGCCAGGCTGGGGGACACAGAGGCCAGAGCCTTCCAAGGGTGCCTAGGGGGGCTGGGGGCTGGTCTCCAGAGAGCTGGTTCCTCATTTAGGCAGCTTTCTTCACCCACCTCCTTCCTTCCCAGGCCCACCTCTCCCCTCCTAACAGGATGGAGAGACTGAGAAGGTGATGTCTGGGGGCCCCCTGTACTTGTGCCTCACGTTCATTACCTCAGTGAATGTTCCAGTGCTGTGAGACTCCCACTGACAGTGGAGGAAGGCTTGCCTCCCTCAGGGCCACAAGCTAGAGAGCAGTGCCACGTGGATTGTGGTGAAGTAGGACAGAGGCAAAATCAGACTCCCGGGGTGGAGGGAGGGAAAGCACCAGGCACCTCCCTGCCCACCACAGTCAGAGGAAGATGGAGACTGCTTCAGGAGTGCAGGACTGCCCATTGAGGGGCTGGCCACATGGCCCAGTGACCAGGAAAGGACAGTGAGGAGCCGATGGCACAGGCAGGCCCTAAGGCAGCAATGGCGTGTAGCCACTTCCTTCGGCCATGTCGCACCAGGACCAAATTCCCCTGCACAGCTGCCATATGTCCCTCACTTTCCCATGCTGTGGCTCCATAGTGCCTGGCACTGACTACAGCCAGGCAGAGGTGGTACCTGAGACCACCAGAGCCAGCAAGGTGGCCTGATGATTGCTCCCACAGCTAATTTTGCCACACTCTGGGCTGGAGTCCAAGGCATGATGATCCCTCCTAGGCCCGGTGAGCACGTGGGAGTCTAGTCACAGCTCCAAATGTCTTCCTGAAGCAAAAGAGGGATGTAGGCAGTGAGTGAGGTCCCCCAAAGAGCAGGCTGGGCCCCCAGGACCATCTGGCAGGTGGAGCAGGCAGCAGTGGGATTTTCAGGGCAGGAGAGATGGCAGGCTCCTCACTGAGCACATGCAAGGCAGTACCTGGCAGTCGGTTGAGTAAAGGGCCACAGTCATGAGCTTGCCCTCAAAATGAGCCCCTGACTGCCGGGATGGGCACGCAATGCCGGGAGCAGGCCACGGTGCAGCAGTCCCGAGCAGAGAAGTCACAGCCAGGAACCAGAGCTCCGTGGTAGGGAGGGCCATTCCAGACACCATCTGCACACGCCTGAGAAGCCAGCATTCAGCCCCTCGCTTCGTCCCTAGTGCAGCACCACGTCACAGCGCCACTTTGTTCCCCTGTATTATCACAGCAGGCCCCAAACACCCCCTTGCCTCAGGACCTTTCTCCCTGCTGCAAGGCTCCTCCGAAACTTACATGCTTGGCTTTTCCTCAAAGTTTCCTGTATGGAAAGGCAATTCTATCTAAAATTTTAAACCCCTCCCCTAACATTTCATATACCTGCTTTATTGTTTTCCCTTCAGCACTTCCTTCTATCCAGCCTGTTGTACAGTTTATTCGTTTATCTTGCTTATCCTATATTCATGTAAGCTTGCTGAGAGCAGGTGCGTGGGGGCTGTTCTGCTTATGCCAGCATCCCCAGCACATTGGAGAGGGCCAGATACACAGTAGCTGGTCAGAGAAGTCCTTACTGAGTGGGACGTCCCCACTGGGCTGCCAGGGTGGGCAGGGTTCAGCCAGAAGTATGTTTACTAAAGGGTAGACGTGTGCCATCTGGCCCAGCTTTTGCTATAGTGAGCTTGGCAAGTGACTTTGCTTCTCTGTGGCTCAGGTTCCCCATCCGTTGTGGGTAGGTATAATAGTACCTGCCCAAGAAAGTTGTTACAAGGGTGAAATGAGCCAAACTTTTATAAGTACTTGGGACAGAGTTCAGTACCCAAGTGTTCTGTAAATTTAAAAAATAATACATCAATAAACTGTTCCTCGTTTTTAACCAAAAATAATTGGCCATTAAAGCAGCTAGCATTAATAAATACTGTAGTGCCCCCTTATCCATGAGGGACACATTCCACCATCCCCAGAGGATGCCCATAGCACTGATAGTACTGAACACTATGTATACTATGTTTTGCCTATACATGCTATCTATGCTAAAGTTTAATTTATAAACTAGGCAATCTCACAGGCCAAAGATTCGATCTTACCATAGATCTTAGCAACCTCAGCACACAATTTTTTTGTTTCCTTGAGTTGATAACTCTTACCTTTTCACTTAAAGGAAGCATGTTAAGGCTTCTCTTGGGCATATCCGAATCATCAGCATCACTGCTCTAGTGCTTTGGGGCCCTTATGCAGTAAAATAAAGGTCACTTGAGCACAAGCACTATGATATCCTGCAGCCAACCTGAGAGCTGAGAGGGCTACTAAGTGACTGGCAGACAATGATTTTATACAGCATGGCTCCGTCAGACGGAGGGGATGACTCACGTCCTGGGCAGGAGGAGTGGGATAGCTGGAGATTTCATCACACCACTCAGATGGCATGCAGTTTAAAACTTACAAATTGTTCATTTCTGGAAGTTTCCACTCAGTACTTTTGGACCGTGGTTGACTGCAGGTAACCCGCAGAGAGTAAGACCATGGAGAAGGGGAACTACCATAGTCACATTATTGAGTGAGCAGATTGTGCACCTGCCCCAGCAGGACAACCTGGTGCGTGTCACTCCCTTTCCAGTCAAGCCTGACTTTGGGATTACTTGCTTTTTGTCATCTTCCCATACCTGGGAATAGCATGTAAGCACCTTTGTGTCCTCTTTGCTTCCATGGTGGAATGCCAGGGTCCCTTCGCCCCACAGGATCCCTTCACCCCACACTCCCCACCCATCAGTCCTCAGTCTCGGTGGGGCTGACACTCTGGACTCACTGCAGCTGTCCAAGGATGGCCTTCCTTCTAGACTGTGTATATTCTTCTCTCTGTCTCAGGACAGCAGCCATGACCTTCAGGGCACACAGGTGTGAACTGGCTCCCAAACTCACAGGACGCAACAGGCTTTTTAGTTCAATAACGTGCGTATTCATTTCCTGTAGCTGCTGTAAGGGATGACTACAACCTGGTGGCTTAACACAAACACATTTATTCTCTTATAGTTCTAGAGCTCACAACTCCAAAACAGGCTTCACTATGGTGTGAGCAAGGCCGGCTCCCTACAGGGCTGGAAGGAAGAATCCAGTTTTCTCCCTTTCCAGCGTCTAGGGCTGCATTCCTTGGCTTGAGTGCTTCCTGATTTTTCTGTGCTCTACCTTCCTGTCACCTTGTCCTTTGATAGCTAGGAATCTCCCTCTGCCTCCCTTTTATAAGGACACATTTAGGGCCTCCCTAGGCAATTCAGGATAATGTCCCCATCTCAAGCACCTTTAACTACATCTACAGACTCCCTGTTACTGTAGAGGGCAACATACATGAGTTCCAGGGGTATCTGAGGCTGGTATTCAGCCCAGCACACTATGCTTCTGGACCAGAAACTCAAGGGCCTGAGATGCCCAACAGCCACTCAAGGACACAGGCTCTTTGTCCATCCCCATGCCCAGGGAGGCAGAGCTTCTGTGGCCTCTGTCCCTACCATGGCCTGTGTACAGTGTTCTCAGCCTCCAGTCCAGAAGCCCCATCACTGATTTTGACTCTGGTTTGCAAGGAAATCTGAGAGAGAAGCCAGCCATTTCCCAGAAGCCCTGCACCAGCCCAGGCCTCAATGTTAGCCTTTCACTCCAACACTCAACATTGACCCCTCACCTCCACAGGAAGCTCCTTCAGTTGGGAGAAGACAGTGCCCCTTTCCTGAGCTTAGAAGAAGGTGGCAGGTGTGGGGGAGAATCTGGCTCCCCTCTTCCTAGTGCATTTGCTTTTGGGGGCTATTCTGGGCTTCCCCTGGGCCTCAGTTACCTCATCTGCAAAATGGGGCCAATCACACCACTGTTCTAGGTTTAGCCTTAGGATAACAGAGACAGTGCTTTGGCGACAACCAGCTCAGGGCAGGGCACATAGGAGTAACTTCCAAATGGCAGCTGTGACTATTTTCACTGCCATTCTTTTTTGTCCATTTCAACAAAGGCAGGAAGTGTCCTATCTGCCAAGCACAATGTTCCCTCAGGCCTATGGGAACAGCAGTGAGTCAGATATGTTGCCCCACTCGTGAAACCCACGTCATTCTCAGGGCACGCAGAGACCCCTCTGAGGGATCTTGGAGCAGGATCGCAGGGCTTCCTAGAGGGAAGAGAGAAGCTGGCCCAGAGAAGAGAGAGGAGGCTGTGCTGAGGACAGAGGGAACCTGGGGGTGAGGGGGTGCTGGGCAGAGACTAACAGAACTGGGGGCTGGCAGCTCTGTGATGGGTTTGACTCAGCTTTCCATTTGTGTATTCAACACCCAGCACCTACTGTGTGCAGAAAGCTGTTCTAGGTGCTGAAAAAACAAGAGAACAATCCTTACAGGAATCCCTGCTCTTGGAGACTATCAATAAGATAAATAAGTAAAGAGCAGATTCTCCAGAAGGTGGTAATGTTCTGGAGAATAACTCAAAAGACCCAAGCGCTGGGGGGCGGGAAGTGGGGCATCGGGATGTGAGGGGTATAAATATTTCCATGGGTGGGTTAGGAAGGCCTGGCTAAGAATCAGGTGGCATTTGAGCAAAAACTTTAGAAGTTGGTTAAGGGAGTGCTGTGGCTATCCCTGAGAAAGGTAGGCTGTTTTTAAAGATACAGCACTTACTTTAATAGCTTGTGCTGGGACTGCCTGCTTCAATGGATTTCTCCTCCAGTGCACAGATGAATGGATGGATCAGTTGGTGCTTTGGAGACCAGGAGAGAGCAGACTGCGGCAGTGTCTAGACAAAGAGATCAACCCGCAGGGAGTCCAGGGGCCAGCCAGACCTGGGTCAAGCAAAGAATGCTGGCCAAACTTTCTAGGCTTCTCTGGGGAATGAACAATTCACGTAAATTAAGCTTCCCAACAAACAACTTTTTAAAAAATCACACCTTTTAAGTTGTGAGATGGGAAACCAGATGACCACACTTACTAGCTGACCAGCAAGGAGTGTAAAGTATGAGTAAGCAGGCCCTGCACGAGGAGCCAAGGGCTGCTTGGGAGTCAAGTCACAAGCCTGAGCACATGGATCTTGGCCTCGATGTTTGAGTGACTGATTAGTTAAACCATTCGGATGCCCTGTTTTTTGTAACTGAAATTGCCAGTTCTTGCTCTTGCTCAGGAGAGGGAAAGCTCTGGGTGTGCTTTCACCCCAACCCCCAGCTCGGAGCCTGGCAGTGTGTGTGAGCCTCAGTGGTCTGTGTTTCCACAGGGACGCACTCCCTCCACTACCACTACCTCACCCTGTCGGAGCCAGGCCCTGGCCTCCCCAGGTTTCTGGCTGTAGGCTACATGGACAACCAGCCCTTCCTGCAGTACGACAGTCGTGTGGGCAGGGCTGAGCCCCAGGCCCCATGGATGGCGTCCATGGACACCCAGTACTGGGAGACGGAGACCCAGAAGTACAGGGCCTGGGCAGAGGTGCAGCAGGTGAACTTGTGGAACGTGATGAGCTACTACAACCAGAGTGGCGGTGCGTCAGGCGGGCCCCCCACCCCTTCCTTCCATTAGGGAACAGTGGTTGCTCCATCCAGCCATCCAGCCTCTCCAAGGGTGCAGGTATGCTTCTGAGGCATGGCTCTTCCCAGTCCCCTCCCCCATAGCCAGGCAGGGGCCACAAGGGCCTTCAGCATCATCTGTGACTCCAGCAGCTGGCCCACAAGCCAGTGCAGGAAGTATCACAGGAACTGGGAGCTCACGATGCCTCTCCCATTGGCTCACCAGGGTTCCAGACCTTTCCCAGCCTCTCTTCACCCTCCCCAAATGCCTCAAATCACACCTACCCCTGGGCATATTCTGTGCCAGGGAAGGGAGGGAAGCCAGACAGACTTGAAATAGGCAGACAACACAGAGTAGGAGACAGAACCCAGGTGACGACCCCTGTTCTGCCTAGCATTAGCAAGGGACGGGAGCCTTTCTCTCAGCCTCAGCCTCCTTACTCAGCAACTGGAGCTCACACCCACTGTGGGGCTGTGTTCACACCCTGTGGAGGCAGCTTCTTCATACTGCTCCCTCCAGCTGTGCCCAGACTCCCAAATGACTAAAAGCCTCGGGGCCTCAAAGGCTCCAAAACTAGATGTAAAGGACCAAGAGTGGGAAGGGCTGTGCCTCAATCCAGGGCCCCTGGGATCAGTGTTAACAGCCAGGTGCGCTCTTCTAAAATTGTGTTACCATTGAGGGCATCTTACACCCATTAGTAACCGAATTTTCTCCTCACTAGCATAGAAAATACGGGTGTGTCTAATTGTAAACTCGAGTATTCTTCCCACAGGAGAGGCCCAGCCAGCTTCTCAGCCCTGGCTGCTCATAAAAATTACCTCAGGAGCATTTTTAAAATGCTGACATCCTGCCCCCCACACTTTGGAGGGCCCTGTGGGTGGTGGGCTCCTGGGCCCTGCGGCTCCCCCTCACCGCAGCCTGCTTGCCCATGCACAGGCATACACAGTGCCCAGCGCATGTTCGGCTGTGATATCTAGGAGGACAACTTCTCCAGCAGCTTCTGGCATTTCGGCTTTGATGGGCAGGATCATGTGTCCCTGGACTTGGAGACTCTGAGCTGGGTGTCAGCTGAGCCTGTGGCCATACAGACCAAGCGTGTGTTGGATTCAGAGCGCTGCTATGCTGAGTATGACAAGGCCTACCTGGAAAGCCTCTGCCTCACCTCTCTGTGCAGGTTTCTGGAGCTGGGAAGCCAGATCCTCACCCGGAGAGGTAAGGCCCAGCCTGTGGCCATGCAGAGGGTGACCTCATGCTCCCATTCTCCACAACTGTCCCATTTGACAGAGAAGCCTGGGGTGGGGTAAGCTGTGTCACCCTGGCTTAGGTAAGTCAGCCGAGGCCTCGGAAAATGGCCAATCACCAGGGCAGGAAGAGAGCCCAGACCTCAGGCCCTCACTCCAGGTGAGGTGGGTGAGAGTTCTAGAATCCCCTGTCCAAGTGTGGTCTTGGGGAATAACCCCCACCCCCAACTCAGCCGAATGTATATTTTTCAATTTTAAAGAAAGAGGATGACTTTTTTTTTAAATCTTCACCCAAGGACATGCTTATTGATTTTAGACAGAGGGGAAGAGACATTGATCGGTTGTCTCCCATACACACCCCAACCAAGGACCAAACCCGACGTGCCAACCAACCGAGCTGCACCGGCCAGGGCTCAGCCTCACTTGCTTTATCTGTAGACCTAGTGGGTTAAACTTGGTGGCTCATCAAGTCCTTTTGGGTTTTCACATCCTGTGGTTCTGCTCCGTGGGAAATGACTCCAGGCCCCAAGGCAGAGCATCCTTCACCGCTCCTAGACCACTGGGGACTTCCGGGGAAGCCGAGGCCCTTCATCCCCTGGCACACAAGCTCATAAACATGCTCCGCAGACCTGGGTGCATCCTAAGCTTCTCCTGACCCTGGCCAGCAGGAATGGAGATATAAAGGCTGGGATGGACACTGAGAAAGCTGGGTGCTTGGGGTGCAAGAGTGGAGGCCACAGGCTGCTAGAGGACGGGGCTGGTCAGGGCACGTGGCACACCATGGATGTCTGCTGACCAAGCAGTAGAGTGTTTATCAGCTGAGGGAATGGAGAGGATACTCCTCAGAGGAGGTCAGGACAAACTGTCAGGAAGAGAAGATGTGAGGGGGTATGAGAGCAGAGCTCAGTGGTTCAGAGCTTGGGTACTTGAGCACAGCCTCCAGATCCACATCCTGGCTCCAGAACTTGCTGACTGTGCAACCTTGGGCAAGTTAGTTGCCCTCTCTGTGCCTCAGTTTCCTCCCCAGTACAATGAGGAGGGTAATAATGGATGCCTCTCCATAGCACCGTATCATTAAACTCTAGACCAGGGGTTCTCCTATCTCCTTCACCCGGTCCCTGCTCGGGTTCTCCACAGAAACAGAAGCAACAGGATTTGTATTGTACGTATAGAGAGAGAAAGAGATGTGATGTAGGGAACTGGCTCACGTGATCACAGAGACTTGGCAGTTCCCAGATCCGCAATAGACAAGCTGGAGACCTGGGGGAGCCAATGGTGCAGTTCCAGTCCAGGTGTTGGCAGGTGCATGACCCAGGAAGAGGCCCATGTCCCAGCTCCAGCAATTGGGCAGGAGGCGTTCCCTCCCATTAGCCTCTCTGTCTTGTTCAGATCTCCAGCTGCTTTCCTGAGTCCACAGAGTCAAATGTGAATCTCACCCAGATGCACCCTCACCTCCCCAGAAAATTGTCCAAATGCCAGGACACACCCACGGCCCAGTCGAGGTGACACACAAAATGAACAGTCACACTTAGATTGCCTTACAGATCAACTCTGAGAGGAAGGATGGCTCCTTATCAGGCCCTGAGAGACAAGAGGCTTGTGGACAGGAGTCAGGCCAGCTTCAAACCCAGCTGTCCAGCTCCAGAGCCCATGCTCATAGCCGTGCTTGTTCTCAGGGGAGGGGAGGGGCAAGGAGCATCATTCCTGACTTCAGTTAACAGCCTCCCATCAGGCTCTGCTGTGTGCAGGTGGTTATGGGAAATTTGTCAAGTCTCTTAAGAAAACCCTAGGGTGTCTGTGGGAAGAAAGGGGGGTATCAGTATAGAACCCAACAGCCCCACCTAGGACTCCCTTGGAGGTAGGGGGGCAGGAAGTTACATCGCCACCATGGGAATTCCCAAAACAAGGCCCCTTGGGAACAGTTGGCAATGGTCATCCCTACCTCCAGTGTTGGTTGAGTGCCTCCCCAGGAGAGACCAGTCTCCATCTGTTCCCTGTCCTCCACCACGGAAGGTGCTGGAGGAGCCTGGATCAAGCAGGGAGTCAGGCGAGTGGCCACTCACCAGCCTTCCTCCCTCCACCTCTCTCTGCAGAGCCGCCCACAGTGCAGGTGACAAGGCACACAACCCAGGACAGGAGTGCCACACTGAGGTGCTGGGCCCTGGGCTTCTACCCGCAGGATATCTCCCTGAGCTGGTGGCTGGGAGAGGAGGAGCTGGCCCTGGAGACTGAGTACGTGGAGACATGCCCCAGCGGGGACGGCACCTACCAGACATGGGCTGCTGTACAGGAGCCAGCGGGGAAGGAGGCTGCATACACTTGCCGCGTGCAGCACTCTGGCCTGAATGACGTGCTCACCATGGCTTGGGGTGAGGCGCTGGGCTTAGCTGGGAGGGGGTAATGAGGGCAGGGATGGTCCCAGAGCCCTCAGAGATAGTCCCACGGTCTGGGGCAGTACCCCCTTTTCTCTGCCTTCCTTAGAACCACCCTCTAGTCAAGGACTTATTGCCATGGTTACCTGCCCCCTCCTCTTCTTGCTGGTGGTGGGAGTTGTGATCTTGACCAAGAGATACCTTCAAGGTAGGTGGAATGAGAACAAAGCGGGTGGCCCTCCAGCTGGTCCAGCCCACAGGGAGGAAGGTTCTGCTCCCATCCCTGCAGCTACATCTATTCTGGGAGCAGCACCTACTACTGAGGCCCTGCGCCCCACCCCACAGCCTTACCCCACCCTGATGCCCTGAGGATCCCACCATCAGGGGAGACTGCTGGGCTGACCTTTCAAAGGGCCCAGAGGGGTGAATGTGGGGAGGTGGAGACCCAGGCCCCCACCTCTACCCACCACTCACCTCATCTCTTGTTTTGTGTTCTCTTTCCCACAGGCAAGAATAAGGAACCTTATGAGCAAGCCCCAGGTGACTGTGGGGTGGGCGGGTTGGGGAGAGGAGGCCCCAGGTGTTCCCAAATGTGGCTGAGGTGCCATAGAACCCAAGGAGGAGGCAGGGCACTGGAGCAGGGGATTTCCCTGGCCTTGCCCCGCCCCCCTCACCAGCAGGCCTGGAACCAGGCACAGAGGGCATGGTGAAGGCACTCCTGGGAGCCACCACCTGGGTTTGGGTGGGGGGGGACCAGGAGCAAGTCAGGATCACCTTCCTCCTTCTTCCCTGCAGGTGGAGAGGAACCCCTATAATTCTCAAAGCCCAGTGAGAACAGCAGCTGCTCACCTGCTCTGCTGACAGAAGTTCACTGTCACAGACCAAGGACTTGTTCTGGGCGGTGTGTGGGGGCCTGGAAGCCCCCTGCACTGGCGGGCTGGCAGATGTTATCTGAACATATGGGGCCTACTCTGCCTCCCAAACTGAGCACTCCTCACCCTCATTACCCTCCTTAAAAGTGGTCTGTGCCACTAAGATGGCTTTGCCATCTTCCTGAAGTCCTTTCAAAAAATGTGACTGTTTCCTGTTTGGGGAGAGGGGAGGGGGCAGTAATAATTCCTCAGAGCTTTCACAATTGACAGTTTGTGGCACAACTTCATGTGCAGTGTGACTCTCACTGAAGCCTCTCAGGCACCCTGTGACACTCCCAACACAGGTGTGTGTGGTGTGGCTGCAGGTGAGTGTGGTGTGAGGGTGTCCTTGTATAGCTGAGAAGGAGCTTACAGGGACAGGTGCTCAGGGCAAGCTGTGGGAGGGGAAACAACCCAGTCCCTATTTTCCTGTCCTTTTCAATGGTTTGTGTTTTTACAATAAGTACATGTGGTTTTGCCATAACGTTCCCATGTTACGATGTAAGATGTCTAAACATAGAAGACTTCATTCCACTCACTATTCCATTTTATCCTTACATTTTAAAAGCTTCCCCCCACCCCCATATCTATCTTGGGAATAAAACAGTGCAAGAGTGTTGTTTAAAAAGCTTGCATTTTGTTGAATCTTTTATACCACCCAGAAAAAAAAGTTTAGGTTTAACTGTGAATGGTTACCACATCACCTGAATAAAGTTTTGCCTTCCAAAATTACCAGAAGTTTTATTCATTTTAGTTGTGATACTTCATTTTGAAAATTTAAATATCACTGGAAAAAGAATGTAAGATTTTTAGATATGAAAAGTAGAGGTATGGGTTACAAAAATGTTGAGAAAAACTAGTATATCCATACCCACCAGATGCCCACCTGTTTATTGAATGTCTTCCCTGCTAGGTCCAGCTGTTGACCGCTGTAACCCAAGTCAGACTGCTTGAACTAGCTCTTTACTCCTGTGGCTGTACCCAGGACCTCCTCTTCACAGACTTGCCACACATCTGAAATCCTCAGCTCCAATTGCTATGACCTTAGCTCTTAGACTTCTGGTGTAGTTAAATACACTCCAGTTATACCTGCCCTTTGGCTGGAGGCCACTGTTCCATAGACTCCTAATTTTTTCAGACGTTTTCCCATTTCTTCAGACACTTGGCTAGCCTTACTATTCTATTGAACCTGGACCTCATGATTAGTCTTGGCATGAAAAACTGATCCATGCTGTGGTCTAGACCAGAGTTTCTCAACTTCAGCACTAATGACATTTTGAGTGAGATCATTCTTTGGTGGTAGGGGGAGGGTTGTGCATTTTAGAATGCTTAGCAGTATCTCTGGAGTCTACCCACTAGCACCTGTCCACCAGTTGTGACAACAGATGTCACTAGACATTACCGGATGAGATGTCGGGGGAGGGAGGGGACAAGATAATCCCTGGTTGAGAACCACTCGTTTAGACTCAGGGAACCAGTCATATCCACACGTATGCCATTACCACACTCACTTAGGCCCTACAGCCAGTGCCTGGCATAGGTGTTCAAAAGTGTTCAGCGGAAGAACTACCTTACCTAGTTGGCACTTTATTAAATGTAGTCTTAACTTCAGTGGGTTAATTGATAGGACCCAGACTTCCCCCAGCTCTTAGCGTGTAGGTGGCATAGTCAGTAAACTTTCTTAAACATTCGAGCTGCCTATGTCACTGACAGTTGGAAGAATAGGACTATGACAAAGCAGAATATGAAATCAAGATCTAGAAATGATAATACAGATCACATTAGCCACTCAATTTCAGCAAGGGACAGTCTTTTTTTCATTTTTTTAATTATTATGCAGAACTAACACATTAGAAGGATCAGAGCCTGTGGGTGGCTCTGGGCTGGTACATATCAACAGCAGATGATAAAGTACTTCCTTAAAAGCTAAGAATGCCCTGCTATTGGCCATCAACCTCTGGCCACCATGCCATGCCTCCTAAAACTTTTATAGGACCTACAGATTTCAGGTTATTTCCCACCTTGAATCCCTGACCCTCTCTGAAAGCTATCCTTTAACAGTGAAGTTGTTATAAATATTTATTGACTGATAAAGTGGGATTACAAAGAGGGGGCATCAGGGATACTAATCCTCTACACCAGGTCTAAAAGTACTTTCTGTACTGATGGATGTGTTCTAAGTCTGTGCTCTCAGTACAATAGGTACCACTAGCTACATATGACTTTTGAGCTCTTGAAATGTAGCTAGTGCAACTCAGGAACTGAATTTTTAATTGTATTTAATTTGAATTGATTTTAAATAGCTATGCAGGGCTAGTCGCTATTGAATCATATTGAACTGTATAGTTCTATGGAAAGGCAGGTTGAATTCTGCTCCTTCCTAGGACCCTAAAGAGTAGCAGCGAGTCCAAAGAGGAGATGAAAAGAACTAAGACAACTTTTCCCAATCAGGAGAGGTAGGCTACAAGGTGGTATCTTTAGGTATAAAAGGAGAAAATATTAAAAAGAAGAAAATATATAAAAGAAGAAAAATATTTAAAGATTTTTTTAAAAATCTAACCAAAACCACCTTGAGGCAGTTTCACTTGTGGGGGATGCAACAAAGGAGAAACTAAGCTAAAAAAAATTGTACTGCCCCCCCATCCCCCAAAAAGCTGGGACTCGGTCCTCAAAATAGGAAGGATGTAAGCATAAATAAGGTTTTATTTGGTGCCTGACATTTTCAAAATGGGATGTGAGGTAAAACCTAGTCTTAAGCAGGTAAGTGGGTTCTTCCCTTTTTCATGTCACAGCAAATCCTGACAGAAGAAGATGAGGAGGTCTTGGAGTCCTAGAAGGGAAAGCAGTGATGGCAGTGGTAATGAGAGAAGCGAGAGGTGTAGGAGGAGCAGAGCTGAAGAAGACCATGAGAGCTAAAAGTGGTGATATATCACACTTTTAATGATAGTCTTGGCCAACAAACCAGAGAGTCCTCAGAGGTACAGCATGAGAAATCTGTGCTTGGAAAAAAATGGCTCTTCTCTGCTTGTGAAAAGTATAGCAACAAGGCTCCTGTTATCACACTTGCAAAGAAGGAAGGAATGGGCCTTTAAGTTAGCACTTTTCCCCCCACTTCTCACTCTCCCAAAGGGGGAAAATGGACACCTCAGGGATTTGTATTAAAGGGCAGGGAGAGCCTGGCTAGTGGGTTGAACGCTGGCCTATGAACCAAAAGGTTACTGCTTCAGTTCTCAGTCAGGGCACATGCCTGGGATGTGGGCCAGGTCCCCAGTTGGGATGTGCGAGAGGCAACTAATCAATGCATCCCTCCCACATCGATGTATCTCTCCCTCTCGTTCTCCCTCCCTCCCCATCTCTCTAAAAATAAATAAAATCTTTATAAAGAACAGGGAGGCTCCTTCCTCCATAGCTATCCTACCTACTGAGGTTCATACTTAGGCCTTGCTAACCTCTTCCATCATCCTGACCCACTTGGACCCAGAGTTAGTCTCAGCCTTCTGGTTGACAATTCCACTTGGCACCCGGCAGGGCCCACAAAGATAAAAGAGGATCCAGGTGGCCTGGAAGAGGCTTCCTGGAGGCTACATATCCCCTTTTTGTCTACTATTTCCTCCCTATACAGAATTCCCTCTCCCATACAGCAAAGGGTGGTCCTCAGCAGGCTCTGGCTTTGTGAGCCAAGAGAACTGTCTCCCCCTCAGCCCTCATATCTGTGGAAAGCTAATCAGCCTCAAGGTTCCATTTCAACACATTCTCCTGACCCTAGTCCATGTGAAATTCTCTTCGTGGTAAATAGCTCAGAAAAGGCACCTTGGGTCAGCTTTTATTTTCTCTACCACTGAATGCTGCTTTACATCCTTGCACAAGGCCAGAAACTTGCCTTTTCCCTGCATGTCTTACAGTCCTACCTGGACCATGCCCACTTCTACAGCTTCTGACTGCACATCAGCTAAGCATGCAAGTCCTGGGGACTCCCACAGTCTATCTCCCGGGGAAGAATGCCTTCAGGTCTGCCTTCTCAGGGACTGTTAGAACTCGGATTTCTGCCTAAGATGAACACCAAATCTTTATTAAAAAAAAAAAAATCCCATGTGATTTCTTGTAAGCTCTGTTCCTAGCATTGATTTAATGCCATATCCCCAACTCTCACTAGGAAGAATGGAACAGAACTTATAATTATACTCCTATATTTCCTTGTCACCAACCTTTTTGAGCTTAATTCTTTAGGCCCCAATCATTAAATAATTCCTATATACAGTCCAATTCTAGACTCTGGAATGAAGGCAGGTTAGGGAGGAGAGACTAGAAGAGATGTTCAACCCCTCACTCATAAGGCCCTTGATAAGTCCTCAGACCCTGCCTTTATAGGAGTCTCGTGACCCTACTAGAAACCCTCCTGTCAAGCTTTCAAACTCTTCTTGTTTCTAGTCTCACTCCAGCCTAGCCTCCAATGTGACAACAAATGCCTTTTACAAACTCAGGCCTAGGCAGGAAAGGGATGAGAAGCCTCCAGAAAAGTCCCTAGGTTTCAAGACAAAAATCTGAATTCCTTAGCAGTCAATTCCTTCTGGACTAGGGTTCCCTGCCCACCGTGGGTTTCATTCTCTCCTACGGTCCCTCTTAAAACCATCTCCCCCAAACTTTTGCATGCAAACCACTTGTGCACCTCCTTCCTGAAACATCCTTCCCTCCTGTTAACTATTTGTCCTTTACTAAGTCTGAGGCTGGCCGCCAAGATTAGAATCTTCCACATGCTGAACCCTTTACATTGTGCTGGGAATGCAATATGTGAGCAGAAACAGACCAGTCCCTGTCCTCAGAGCACTGAGAGGAGGGCCTCGAGATATTCAACAGCAAATAGAGCTAAATGCTGTGAAGGCCCAGCACACTATGAGGGTGTGAAATAAAGGAGCTTGACTGAGACCTGAGGTCACAGAATGTTTCCTTGAGGTGGCAACCTGAGCTGAGACCTTAAAAAAGCATAGATTTAACTAAGAAAAGGAAGGTAGGATAAGGGGACCTTCCTTTACCTCAGCACTGTGCCTACCACCTACAGTAGCTCTCACCTGAATGCTGGCAGGGAGGGCTGAAGGCCCCTGCTCCTTGGAGAAGAGATCTTGGGCCTCTGGCAAGAAGCCCAAGGGGCTCTTTCCAGCTGTACTAGCTGTGCAGGTACTACGGTCTCCCTCCAGAAAAGAACTGGTGAGGCAGACTTCCTTACAAGAACCTCTCCAATCTCGTCTCGAGATTCTTACCTTGTGTGGAATGGAGGTGGTACCCATGGAGACATGGGAGAGAGGGCAGCCCAGGGGCTCCAACAAGAAGTAAATGAGACCCCGATGAATTCTGCACTAGGAGTGGTGGGGCTCAGCCCAGCCTAGAACGGTTCTGCCTTTATGGGTGTTTGGGGTTGGGGGGAGCTCTGAAGACAGTCTGAATCTTCCCCAAAGGCCAGGTGGGGCCTCCAGCAAGCTTCCACCTCCAAGGGGCTAGAGAAAAGTTTACACTCTGGATGAGAAAAGAACTGAAGGCCATGCCTGGGCAGGTCGTAGGCTTGTTGGAGGCACAGCTGGATTCTCAGACACATGAGGGACATCATCCTGCAGGAAGAAGCTGAGCTCTCTTTGCTGATGAAGATTAGATCCACCAATTCCTGGTTAGGAGGAGTGAGGAGTCCAGGTGGGCCCTTGAACTGGGCCAGGTGGGAGCCGGTATGCCTAGTGGGGAGCCATGTGGTGCCTGAGGGAAGCAGGTGTGGGTGGGGCTCAACTCCATCCAGATCTGAGTGGGAAAGGATGCTTTAGCCCTGTCCCTGCTCCTAGCTACACTCAAAGTGGTCCTCAAGGTTGAGGAAATACCTCCCTTGGCTCAGGATCATCCTGCAGTGGCACTGTAGCCTACTGGCATCCCCTCTGAGGTGAGAGGTCAGGCAGTGGTTGGAGGAAAATTCCAAAGTGTAAAGCCCAAATCCTACAGGCTCTGGTTCTTCAGAAAGTCCACTGTATTCCATTTCTCCCCCTCCTCCATTGGCATCACCAGCTTGGATTTGGTGGACTCTAGGGCAAAGGCACCTACTGTGGTCACAGTCCAGCTCTCCAGATCAGGGGAGACACAGGGAGGTAGGGGGCTACCCTGCGGACTGCCACTTCTGAAAAAGGGCCTGACAGTGCAGAAAGGTCCCATCCTTGAGCATGCATTTAGTAACCTGGGAGGCTCATTTTAAACCTGGGCTCCTGGCCCTACCTCAGGGATACCAATTCCACAGGGATGCCCTGGTCAAAGTTCAAGAACCAAATAAGGTTTCTCAAGGGGGAAAACATAATGTGACTTCAGCTTTGATGTCTTTGGGGAGTGGAGATAGGAGGTGGAGGGGCAAGTGCTCTGGAGGGCAGAGGGGAAATTCTCTGCTGTGTACAGACTAAGCACATCCACAAACCCGGATACATGGAGTTGCTGGTCTGACCAGAGTCATGGGCAGCAGATGATATTTGGGTGGGTGAAAGCAGGGACTAGACCACAGGAGAAACAAAGCACGTGGGTTGGGGGGCAGTGCAGTGTTACAAAAGTGAAAGGGCAGTCAGTTGGGGGTGCAGATGGCTACCTAGGTGAGTCATCAAGCTGTGGAGAAGCACAGTCAGAACAGAGCCCTGAGGAAGGCAGGGGCGACTGCAAGACACCAGGAGAGCAGGTGCTCTCAAGGGAGAGATATCTGCACACCTGAGCAACCATAGCCCACAGCAGCTCTACCATTTCCCCTCACCTAACTTCTTTCCTTCCCAAAAGGCCATCCAGCACTCACTGCCAAAGGCCCTTCCCCAAGTCTGCGATGCCCCTTCACCTCCATCTCATTTTCTCCCTCAGCATCTCTAACATTCCAGCTTTCCCACCGACACATTTCCTCCCATATACCTTCCCTCCAACTGGGAAATTATTCCCTCCCTGTATCCACAGGAGTCCGTCTCTTGTCTTTGCTCCAATCAGCCCCAACATTCCTTCCCCCAGCCCCATCTAACTCCAAAAACCAGGCCCACTGCCCCAAGACCTAAAACAGAGCCTGGTCCCGAAGAGGTGCTCCTTGAGTGACTTGTGCGCATTTAATCTGCCAAGCATTGTTGTGGGTGCCATAATTTCCAATCTCACTTCACAGATTTGAAACTACAGATAACGCATGTTACAAAAAGAAAGGTAAATGCTTATGTGTAATTCTCCCTGAATTCTGCTTAGAAACGGCCGCCGTCATCCTGATGTGTGCCCCGCCCTTAATTGAGTGGAGTGCGGCCAGCACAGTCTCTCATCAGGGGTTTGCAAGACCCATTCACACGCCAAGCGGTTCAAAGGGAGGCCGGCAGGCAGCCAGGTAATCACATTGGACTGCTGACCTGTCCGGGGGCATGTCCTTCCGGGCCTTTCTGCCAGGTGTTTAGGCCTGGGGGCGGCTTTCGACCCGAGTTCCCACAGGTCAGGGGCCTTTCAATTTCTGCAACGGCTCTCCGCTCTCTAGCGGTGGCGGGAGCGGGTGGCAGTCCCCAGCCCACAGACCGCTTTCTGGTTCAGCCCGCGTTCCGGCTCCGTAACCAATTCTCGCCTTGGTCCGGCGTTGACTACGTACTTCTGGACTAAGAGTGCCGCAGCCCAAACCACCAGAACATAAACCTCTTCAGGGAAGAGCCGCTCCCCGCGCCTGGAAATAGTTTAGGGTTTACCAGTTCTCCTGAGACAGTTCATATTAAAAAATGTCCTGAGACAGTGTGGGGAGGGCTGGGATGGAGAGGAAGTGGTAGTGTGTGTGTGGGGGGGGGGGGGGAATGGAGACAGCTGTACTTGAACAATAAAAAAATGTAAAAAAATAAAAACGTGATACCTTATTTTTCCGTAGTGTCCACCATTAGCCTCTGAGCCACCAAGCTGATAGGGCGGGGCTATGCGGTCCTCAGGATTACTTACCTGGCACATTCCCTCTTCCGCTGCTTAGACCTCACGTCCCAGTGAACGTTCGAGGAGGCTTTTAAAACAGGGTAGTGTTGGTTTCACAATGTATTTGCACGCCCTACAAAATTATGCTGTGTTGTGAGGGAACTATGAGGTCTTGTCATTTCACCTCGTCCAATGCACTACATGGCACCGCCATCTTGGGCAGAATTGAATCATGGGGGCCACCATTTTACAAGGGAGGGCGGGTATTTCCGGTTCCGGCGGAGGCTCGCTCTCTCTTTTCTTCGGCAGGGCCGCGGCGCGAGCGGCCGTGCTGCACTTCTCTCTGAGGGATCCACGTCCATCGTCGTCGCTGCGGCGACATCCGCACCTACCACCGCCATGACTGAACAGATGACCCTTCGTGGCACCCTTAAGGGCCACAATGGCTGGGTGACCCAGATTGCTACTACACCCCAGTTCCCGGACATGATACTGTCCGCCTCTCGAGGTACGGGCTGAGATACGGGTCAGGATTGGCGAACAAGGGGGTTGCACGCGTGTTGGTGTCTAGGAAAACTCTGGGTATAAGTTGGATATGTAATCTTTGCCTAGGCCTCAGCTGGGATGCACACATCGAGACGTAGGCCAGATCAGCCAGTGGCTGCCAGGAGGGTTGCAGGGTTGGGGGGCCTTTTTATTTCTTGCTCAGCTCACTGCAGGTATGTTAAAGTTTGCCCAGGAGCCTACGGGTCGGGTGAGGCGGTGATGACACCAACATGCCATCTGAGTGCCCGTGCTGAGAACCAGAGGCTGTTTCTGAGTTGCTACCCGGCCCTGTGCTCAATGGGAAGTGGGTGGACTCCAAGGGGACCGAACGTAACTAGACTCCTGGCTGGCCGCAGCCTGCCCTTTCTGTGTTCGGTTTTCCTTCTTATCTCTGTACCTGACTACCTTGGGAAGCTTCATGTTCCTTCCGGAGGTTGCGCCCATACAATTAAAGATGGTATGAGGCTGGGCTCGTGCCTGGCGCTAATCGGAAAGCTGGTGTGAAACACGTTTTAGTGAAAGCATCCATGCTGTAGTGTGTAAAGCGACCTAATTCCAGCACTTTTGGCAGCCCTCAACTAGGTTTCCCACATCCAAGCTGCTGGGTTTTGCATTAGAGGTCAGATAAGACTAAATAGATGTTGAATTGGTCTGTGTCTCAGAAAAGGGCATCCTCAATCTATGGTAAAGTTCTGCGCACCTGAGGTAAATTCTCAACTTACCGTTTAGTTTCTCTTCTGAATAGTTACTTGGCCTTGGCTGTTAAAGCTCTTACAGTCTGCAGTTTCCCTCCCTCCCTGAGTGTCCTTGTTTGTTACATTCTAGACCCACCAACGACCTTGAGGCATCCTCGATTATCCAGTAGGCGAGCAAATGGCCTGTGGGCTTCCTCACTGGGTTTTATTTCTGTTTTACTTACCCTTAGACAAGACCATTATCATGTGGAAGCTGACAAGGGATGAGACCAACTATGGCATTCCACAGCGTGCTCTTCGAGGTCACTCACATTTTGTTAGTGACGTGGTCATCTCCTCAGATGGCCAGTTTGCCCTCTCTGGCTCCTGGGATGGAACCCTTCGCCTCTGGGATCTTACAACGCAAGTAGCTGCTCATTTAGCTCTGGGGTATTGGGGGAAAGCTGAGCAGAAATGAGGGAGATGCACTCAAGAGAGCACCTAGAGAGGGTCGTTGGTTGCTTGGCCTCCCTCCTCTTTGCTTTCAGTTAGTCGTGCAGAAGTGCTGATGAGGGATCTGGCTGAGCAGTTTTGCCAGATACTGCCATTGGGAGTAGGCAGGAGTTTGAACAGCTTCTATCTTGGTAGCTCAGTCTTTGGATAGTCAAGCATAATGGAAGATCCTGGTGATGATAGGTGACATTGTCGGCCAATCCCCATGCGGGAATGAGGACATGTCCTGCAATTCTGAAAGGATCCTCTGGCATATTCTCAGCCTGCTGTGATTAGAGCCACGTCCAGGGTTGTGTGAGTAAGTGTGACTTTGCTGGGGCAGGAATAAGGCCAAGGAAACAGTCTAACTGGAAGAATGCTTGCAAAGTCTTTCTAGACAGTGACCAAGTCCTTCCTCTCAGGGGCACCACCACACGCCGATTTGTAGGCCATACCAAGGATGTGCTGAGTGTGGCCTTCTCCTCTGACAACCGGCAGATTGTCTCTGGCTCCCGAGATAAAACCATCAAGCTGTGGAATACTCTGGGTGTATGCAAATACACTGTGCAGGTAAAGTGAAGACACACGCAAAGGTTCTCTCTCACCCTTGTGTAGTGACTTCGGGCCTCACTGATCTTGAAGATTGTCATTATAACCAAGGGGTGGCAGTCTAGAGGTTGATGGGATAAGATGGTTTTCCCTAATTTCCTTTTCATCTGTAGGATGAGAGCCACTCAGAGTGGGTGTCTTGTGTCCGTTTCTCACCCAACAGCAGTAATCCCATCATCGTGTCCTGTGGCTGGGACAAGCTGGTCAAGGTGAGCTTAGAGCCAGGGCCTTCACTCTCTGGGATGTTTTCCCACTGTCTCCCTCCCATGCGTTCATAGGCTCCAACTTTGAAAGTTTTGTTCCTCGTTTTACGTGTTTCTTCTTGCTAGTTGGTCTAAAGCAGCTAATTGATGAGCCTGAGTTCCTTTTAAAGCAATAGAGCAGTTGTTACCTGTTTAAATCTTAATTGTCTATAAGTGGCCAAGACAAATTCTTTAGCTCTTTTGATTACTGCTGGATTTTTTGTTTAATTGACTGTGCTATCCAGAAATGCTTTTAAACAGGGTTTTAAAACCCTTTCTGTTTGACTTGAGCCCTTCTGGCTCTGGCAGATCCAGAGCCAGTTTCTTTACTCCTACTCCCCACCGCCCACCTTCCCCACCAATTTAGGTATGGAACCTGGCAAACTGCAAGCTGAAGACCAATCACATTGGCCACACTGGGTACCTGAACACTGTGACTGTCTCTCCAGATGGATCCCTCTGTGCTTCTGGAGGCAAGGTACTCAGGAGCTAGGAGTCTCCTACTCAATGGGGATGGGGTCTTAGAAAGAATATTTAAGATAATGAGATAGCAATTCAAAAACAAACATTTCTAAAGATGACTTTCTGGAAATGACAGATGAGGTATACTGTTTAAAGGAAGAAGACTGTCTTCTGTAAAGCTGGTTTCTTAAAACTATTGAGATCAGGATCTTGTTTTCCAAACTGATCATAGTGATTCAGAAGTCATGGGCTTTTGGTAGGATTGGTTAGGAGGTGTGTTAAAGGTGTACAGGGGTAAGTATTGGTACTTGAGTCATTAGTTTTGGGGAAGTTCAGGGTACAGGGGCACAGATAGTTAAGGATTAAGATAATCTTTAGGCAGCTGGAATTGCCATCTGGAAGAGGTCACATTGTCCTGACTAACTTTTCCTCTCTCTCAGGATGGGCAGGCCATGCTGTGGGACCTCAACGAAGGCAAGCACCTTTATACACTTGACGGTGGGGACATCATCAATGCCCTGTGCTTCAGCCCTAATCGCTACTGGCTCTGTGCTGCCACTGGCCCTAGCATCAAGATCTGGGTAAGTATGGGCTGCAGTTGAGCCCAGGTACCTAGCTGTATTCTGTAAGCCCTGACAACATTGTGGTTTTCCTGAACAACTCCTGTCAGGGTGTTGGTGGAGACTCAGGAAAAGCTAGTTAAAATTTCCTGGGTTTGGGATTTACAATGATTAGGAGCTCTTTGTCTCCAAAAAACGATGACCAATTATAATAGCTTATTCAGCCTCAGCACAATTGACATTTTGGTCTGAATAATTTATGGGCCAGGGGACAGTCCTGTGCATTTTAGGATGTTTAGCAGCATCCCTGGTCTTTACTGCTCACTAGATGCCTAGCAAACTCCTTCCCATAGTGACAAACCCAAAATGCTTCTAGGCATTGCCAAATATGGTGGGGGGAGGGGGGTGCCAAAAAATCCTCTTGAGGTCACTGAGGGGTTTTTGGAGGAGGAGGGAGGGTTAGTGTCAATGGCATTAAAGTGCTAAGAGTTTCCTTACCCAGGACTTGGAGGGCAAAATCATTGTAGATGAATTGAAGCAAGAAGTTATCAGTACCAGCAGCAAGGCAGAACCACCCCAGTGCACCTCTTTGGCCTGGTCGGCTGATGGCCAGGTAAGTGGGTGTGTCTCGTCTGCCTGTCCTGACCAGCATCTCTGATGTAAAATGACATTGGGGTAATGCGGGGGAGGGGGGGGCTATTTAGCTGTGCCAGTGAATGTAGAGTGTGTATACCTGCTTTAGAGGGCAAATTATGGTCTAGAGGGCAGTGATTACTTGTGTCTTCAGTTAACTTTGACAAGTTTACAAGCATGTAAATCCTTATATACCAGGTATTGCTTCCTCTAGGAGCAATCACCCATGATCAGGTAAAAAGAATAGTGGGGATCTTAAAGGCCATCTTTGCCGCACTGGTGGGAACTGCAGAGTTCCACGGCTCTGGCTTAACCACCATCATTTCTCCTTTGCAGACTCTCTTTGCCGGCTATACAGACAACCTGGTGCGAGTGTGGCAGGTGACCATCGGCACCCGCTAGAAATACCTGGCAGAGCTTTAAAAATAAAAAAACCCTGGTTTTCTGACTTGTAGAAAATGTCTTTCTCTGGTTAGGAAAAAAAGACTACTTCCTATGCTATGCTGCTTACAGGTTCAGGTACTAGCAGACTGGATGCCTGGACCAAGTAAACAAGGTTTTGGGGGTGGCGGGGGTGTCAGTCTCGTTAGGTTCCCTCATCAGTGTCCTGTTTCAGGTACAGAGTCTCAGGGCCTCCCTTAAGCTTGGAGAGAGTGTTTCATGAAACGGACTGATTATTCACACTGTTTGCAATCATTTTAAAATTAGCAGAGCCCTCACTGGTGTGGTTCAGTGGATTGAGCACCCACCTGTGAATCAAAGGGTCACTGGTTTGATGCCTGGTCTAGGGCCCACATTTGGGTTACGGGCCATGTCCCCACTTGGGGGTGCGTGAGAGACAACCACACATTGATGTTTCTCTCCCTCTTCTTTCCTTCCCCTCTCTCTAAAAATAGATCTTTAAAAAAAATAAAATTAGAGTCCTCAGGTACAACTCTCTTTACACCTAAGAAATTGAACAAAGGTGCATTTTGTTATTCCTCCAAAAAGACTAATGCAACTTAATGGAACTCAACAGGTTAAGGGTAGCATATAGCCTACATCAAATTTGGACGTCTTACTAAAATGGAGTTTTTTAGTTAAGGCAGGGCAATGCACCAGAATTGTTGCTTAATCATACCATTTCACTCTTGTAATTGGAGATTAAAATGTATAGAACCCTGGTTTGTGTGCCTTGGTTGGTTGGTGTCATTAAGTAACCAAAAGGTGGGTTTGATTCCTGGCCCAGGTATATAGGGGAAGCAGCTCATCAATGTTGAGCTGCTTTGTTGTTTGTTTTTCTCCCTTCTAGAAGCAATGAGAAATAACGTCCTCAGGATTTTTAAAGCATTTGTGGAGTGATACAGTTGTATTCACAATCAGAGCTGGGTAAATGATAGCATGTTGAAGTAGCCTGTACCAACCTATTTCCTCCTTGACTAATGGTAACAAGGCATCTCTGGCTTTAGGTCCAAATAATTCACTTCAAAAACTTTGGAAATGTGTTCTAGGTTCTGGGCCTGAAAGCCACAGGTGTGGGGATTCTTGGGGAAACCATTGTCCCAAAGCCTCAGAGCAGCAGGAGTCAAGAGAATGAAGTCAAATACAATATGAAGAGTGCCCATCAATTTGGATGTACAAATGGGAAGGGTAGGATTTATACCCCAGTCTCTTGAGACTAGGATCTCATGCCTAACAGCACTAATGAGATGTGACAGATGTAATAACCACCTCAATTTAGTGGAGGGCTGGCTTACTATGGAAATGAAATGGCTTCTAGGTTCTATCTTTAGATTCTGTTCATCTAAAGGAACAGACCACAAAAGCAGCAAATAAAACTTTTTATTTCCACAACACAACCCAACTTCCCTTTTCCCCAGGAACATAAATTGACCTGGGCCATCAAAGCACAGGACAAAAGCTGGTAAGTGACAAGGCAAAGGGTTACTAGAAAAATAGATTATACCCAAGGCTCTCCTCATAGGGATCCAAACCCTGGTCCCCAGGCTCCCCATCAGGGCTCATCAAATGGAACTGAAGACATGAAGATGATGGAGAATGACAAAAGGAACTACTGAACAAAGGGGAAAGGAGCCTGGCAGTGAAAAGGGTAGTGTGAGCTTTGCTCCTACATTAAGTGCTGGAAAAAATGGGGAGAAAATAATTTATTGGGAGATGTAGTTTCAATCATGTCGACCATTCCAGATCTCTCATTGAAGCTAAATTCTGGCCAGTCTATGGAGGTAGAAATCGGGGATGGAAGAAAATTTAGAATCCCTCCTTCCCCCAGAGAGTAGATGGTTCTTTATTATCCAGCTCTACCCTTAGTCCAATCTGCCTCCCCCCAGAAAGCTACCAAATCCCTTAGCTAAAACTTGGATCAGAAAATGTAATTGGGACAGGGGTAGTCATGAGTCTTGCCCAAATCCTCCAGCCTGGGAACTGACAGGAAGGTTGAAAAGCAGGGGTGGAGAAAGGGAAGTTAATGAAATTAAATATCCCCTCCCCTACTCAAATTCAGGCCCTGGGCATAGAGGGAGGGAAGACCAAGCAGCTGTTATCAGGGACCCATGCAGACCTGTTGGACAGATAGTAGGTGAGAGGAGGCCGAGCTGGAGGCCAGAAGGGTTCGTTAGGCTCCTAGAGGGAGAAGAGCAGGGTCCTGGGGTCAAGGAAGAGTAGGAAGCAATGCAGTAAGAGTTTTGGGAGCCTTTGAGCCCCCAAACTTACGGGCCACCCTCCACCACCACCCGCCCCACCAGTGCTGACCAGAGGGGCCCCTGCGGGTGGCAGGCTGATCAAGGGCACAGCTTGATGCGGGTACCCTTGGAGAGCACCCGGAAGAAAGGGAAGACACGCTCGCCCAGGAAGGCAGCTGAGAAGGTATGCACATGGGCCAGAGTCTCGGCATTGTAGAAGCCCAGGCGCCCAGCCTCGTAGTCCAGGTACACGCCAAAGCGCCGTGGCTTCTCACTTGGGCTCAGCAGTGTCTGCTCCGTTGAGCTCTGTGCCTGGTAACGTTTGCCATTGGTGCCCACACACCACACTTCCCGCTGGAGCAGGGGCTGCTGGGGTAGGTGGAGCCGGCGGCGGCGATGGTGATGGCGTGAGGAAGAGCTGGCATCTCCGATGCCCATGGAGGAACCCCCAGAACCCACCTTCTCCTTATGGTGGGTTGATTCACGGGCAGCACCCACCGCCCAACCCCGCCGCCCACCCACCTCTACCTCCCAGTAGTGCCGGCCAGAGCGGAAGCCCTGGGCCCCCAGTACGCAGCAGTCAGCTGAAAAGCGCTTGGAATGGTCAGCAACCTCCTGCCGCCGCTCTGCCAGGCGGACACCCCGGCGGTCAGGAGACAGCATCAGGGCCGGGTGAGCCGTGTCAGGGTCCAGCGTCAGGTCCACTTGGGAGGGAGGACAAATACGCCAGGGATCGGCCCACTGTTCCCCATGATCAGCCAATGCCAAGGTTCGGCCTCTTCTAATGCCCTCCCCCACCCTTCACCTCCCCGACCCCCAGCTACCCTCAGTTCCCCACCATTCCTAGAGGCCAGGCTCAGGTTCCTAAGGGTTCCACCTCTTTCCCCACTCTTGATTCCAGAACACTGGACAGGTCTTCCCTCTGGCCCTGGCTCTTCTTGCCAGCCCTCAACCCCAATACCTACCTGGGCTAGGACAGAAGTCTTGGCTTGTAGCCCCGGGTGGCCTACCTGCTGCCTGCTCCATCTCTGCCCCCATTCTTCCCCTGGGGCCCATCTTCCCTCAGAACCCAATCTCAGGTCTGTGAAGGGAAAGGCAAAGGAAGGTCGTCCAGGTGACCTCCCTACCTCGAGCAGCCTGACAGAACATCCGGCTCATTTTCCTCACGATGGCGTCTGTCAGGAAGTCATGGCTATGGGGTTGACACGGGTCAGGGGACCAGATCTCTGGGGGCTGCAGCTGTACCTCTTCACACCTGGAGGAAGGGGACCAGGCAGGGGGTGGGACCATGATATTCCCAGAGGGAAGAACAGAAGCTGAGGAGGAGGAGAGAAGGATACAGGAGACAGAAATTCGGGTCCTGGGGAAGGAAGGAGAGGGGCAGGACAGCCAAAAGAGGTGGGGATGGGGAACCACAGGCCACTGGGTCACAAAGGATAAAGGGTGGGAACACACCTATTGAAAGTCTCCTTGATGTCCTGGGAATAACAAACACAAAGAAGGAGAGGGAGAAAGAGACAAAGAGAGAGTCAGCTGGGCAGGGATGGGTCCTTTCTCCCACTCTGATTCCAGCCAGAGAAAGACTGAACTTAAACAGGGAGTGAGAAAAAGCACCTCAGGACTCTCAGTAAACATGCATCCATCTCAGTCATCCCTCTGCCTCAGCACACCTAACTCATCTCATCTTGCATGAGCCCAGAAATAGAATTTTCAACCCCAGTAAAATAATTTTCACAATATGACTTGGTCATCTTTTTCAGGATGTCACCATCAAAAAGTCTTTCCTCGATTCTCATTTGAGACCCTCCTTCTACAACTGAATCTTCTTTATTTTTATTAGGTATGATCACATACACACCACATTCAACAATAACGCTTATCTTTTGCCACAGGTGATATCCCTGTACGTTCCTCCCAATGAGAAAACGAAGCCATAGACAGGTGTTTGGAAAGCAATGCCTGACAAAGCAAACACAGGGTGCTCGGGAGCAGACAGGGTAGGGGGCACTGCTCACCTGGAGCAGCCGCAGGCCCCCCTGCTGGCTCCGCTCTTGGGCCTCGGCCAGCAAGCAGCTCAGTTGGGCCGCCTGCTCTGCCAGACGGTTGGCCACTGCTCCTGCACGCCCCAGCTGAGCTTCATGCATCTCTCGAAGGCGTCGCTCCAGCCCTGCCTGCTCTTCAGCAAGAAACCTTGTCAGCCGCCCAAACTCTGAGGCCACAGCTGCCAGCTCTGACTTCATCTGGCTCTGGGATGATGCAAAGGGGATGGTAGATACCACCTCAACACACAGAAACATAAACCCCCAGTTTTGCAACTGCTGCCTCTCAATCCAAGACAAAGGAGCCCTACATCCCAAATGGAAAGAGATACCTCTCCCCTTCCCCACCTCCCGGCCTTATCAGGCTTCACTCCCCCAACCCCAGCACACTGGTCCAAAACTCACCCACCTCTGCCTGCAATACTCATCTCTACCTTGACTACCTAACTTGACTTACTCTTCGGGTCTCAGCTTAAATAATCCCTGAGAGAAGCTTTCCCTCCCCTCCAGATCTAAATCAGGACCACTCCCATAAATATCACAATGTCTCCTCATGGCATATCTCTCAATTTCAAATGTTAAGTTTACACTGGAGTACCCTGTAATATTCTTCCCCTCCTCCCAACTGCACTGAAAGCTCCGTTTGCCACAAGATCCTTGGACCTTGTCACTGTGCCCATAATGGAATTGGTGCTTGGTAAGAATTTCTTGGAATGAATAAACAAAAATTCAGGAATCAAGATATGAAGTTAGGGTCCTGACTATCACACTAGTGACCTTGGGAAAGTCACCCACCCCATCAGGATTTGGCAAACGTTTTCTGTAAAGGGACAGATAATATCTCATGCTTTAAGGGCCAAGAGGCAAAATTAAGAATATTATTAGGTAGGTACTTCTATTATAATAAGAAAAAATATCTGTCTATGACTATCCCATTTGCCTGGATTGGGCAATCCCAAATGGTGGGCACACTTTTTGTCCATATATCATCAGCTGGTGACATTCTTGGGACAAAGAGTGACAGGCCAGAGTGGGGAGGGAAGTCCTGACTGGCCAAGTGGGCGAAGGAAAAAGTCAGTTTCTCCCTCTGTCCCAGTGACACACAGATCCTTACACTTTCTCTGCACACCAGGGACCCCAAGTCTCAATTTGGGCAGCTGGTTAGAGGCAAGATGACTCCCCAGCTCCCAGACCCAGATGCCACCATTCAGTGCCAGGCAGCTGCCAGCAGCAGAAGGCCCTGAAGTGTAGGTGGCCACAAGCACAGGCCCTGGGAAGTGCTAAGGCCCAGCCACTGGCCAGGGGGGAGGCACAGAAGAGGCGGAGAAAGAGATCTGATAGGAGAGATGCCCTCCACTTGGTTTCTGAAGCTCAGTACCAGGTCATTCCAGTGCCTGGTGGCCTTACAAAAACAGATAGGAGATGAGGGGTGGGAAATGAGGAAAAAATATATTAAAAAAAACTCCTTGGGGAGGTGAGCAATAGTGAAAAAAAGCTGAGAAACACTGGACTAGAAGATACTATGTCTCTACAATTCTAACATTCACTAATTCCTCCCCTCCATTAGGTACCCTGGCCTCTCTCATGCTCTGGGCTGCTCTGCCTACCACCTGCCATCTACCCTGGGATCTGGGGCTTCTCTGATGGTTGCTATATGGCTTTTGCCTTGCCCCCTTCTGCTCTCTGCTATCCAGCATGGTGGGGACAGAGTGGTGGGACATTGGCTCTGGGGTGAGGTGGCCTAACCTCTCTAAGCTAGGCCTCTCATCCCCATTTTAGGACCTGGGGATGCTTATCTTTCCTCAGGACCCTGGGAGGGTATCTGTCTACCTCTCTTCCAGGCCTCAGCTGCCTCTCTTCAGTACATCTAGTCACCATTTGTGAGAGTGGGCAGCCCATCTTCCCTGCCCTGACCACAGAGCCAGTCAGCCCCTGTCAAGGACATCCACCCACCTTCAGCTCTGTCACCCGCCTCTCTTCCTTGGCTTTCATCTTCTGCACAGCCTCCAGCTGCTTCCTTAGAGGTTCCACATGCCCCTGCAGTTTGGCCTAAGGAACAGTAAAAGGAAAGCTAAAGGCCTGGGCTGGGAGAGGAACCTGCTCTCAGAACCACCTCGGCCCTCCTCCCTACAGGGGTTGGGTCTCAAAGCCTGACTCCCATCACAGTTATCAGATGAGCATCCCATTGCCTTCCTTCTCTGCATATGATAACAAAGGCTCCAACCCTCCATCTGCACTCATGTCCACAGCCCCGGACATGTTCTCTAAAGGAAGGATCCTGATGACTAGAGTGCCTCACACTCAGAGGTGGAGTGGGCCTGGCTTGAGCACCTCACCACAAAGTCCTTTCGCATAAATGTTGCTGCCTATGGTCTCTTCCCCCTGATAAACAATCTTCCTCATAACTTCCATCTCTAAGCACTTTTCTGATGATTTTCATGTGATAAAAATCCATCAATCCTTTCCCACCACTTACAAAATATGAGGCTCTCACTGCCCCTACATTTCTAGCCTTCCCTCCTTTACCTACCCCTTCTACAGACTCAGTTTTGGCCACATAAAACTGCTTGTCTTTTCCTAAGTTTAACTCCACACCTTTATCCATGCTGTTCCCTCTGCCTGGGAATGCCCTTCTCCACTTGGCCCAAGGCATTCTTCCTTTAAAACCCAGCTACCTGACTATGACCCTCATCCTCCCTGCCCCCAGCTTCCTCTGGGATCCCAGGGAACATGAACACAAGTTTTACAATAGTTCCCAGGCACTGTAATCATTACAAATGAGCCTGCCTTCCCCAAGACACATAGGGGTTCCTGGGGGCAAGGTTGCTACTTCCTCTCCCACTCAATCATTTGCTAAATGAAAAAACAAAATCCCTTTCCTATTTTTTTTTTTAATATTTTTAGACACAAGGGAAGGGAGGGAGAAAGAGAGGGAGAGAAACATCAAAGTGTGATTGCCTCTCACATGCATGCCCCCCACCAGGAACCTGGCCTGCAATCCAGGCATGTGCCTTGACTGGGAATGGAACTGGTGACCCTTTGGTTCACAGGCTGGTGCTGAATCCACTGAGCCACACCAGCCAGGGCATATGCCCCTAAAGTTTTAACCTTCACATGAAAATATACACTTAAGCTCTGTGTTCCAAACATTTATAGCAGTCTTTTTTTTTTTAAAAGGGCTATTAGAGGCACCAGAATGGGTGAAACAAGCCTAAACAATTTGTTAGTTCATTTTTTTGTCTTCTACTTCTGTTTATTTCTCCTTTTCCTGAAGGGGTAACACAAGGCAGAAGAGCTCAAGCCTAGACTCCAATGTGATCCTAAATGCAGCCAGGTGACCTGAAACAAGCCATGATTCATTTCATCATCTGAAAATAAGAATTGGGAGTAATATAATCTACCACTTGCATAATATGCTTTGCACAACACCTGGTATATAGCCACAGATCAGTGAATGTTATCTAGTATTCTCTACTTAGGCCTTAGGCTACCAATGAGAGTCTGACAGTGACCTCTGAACTAAAAAAGTTACTGACCCAGGGTACAAAAGGCAGTTGTTGCACAGGTAAGTGGTTGTAGAAAAAAAAATTACTGTAATAATAAAATTACAATCAATTTCTAACATGAAAATAGCATAAACTACACAAAATTTTGCCTTTTGATATTACTTTCTACTCTTCTCCAGTAGTGTTAATATTTTCAATTCTATTAATACAGAATTTATGATGCTTAAATTTTCCATTTAATATTTTCCCTAAATTGTTGACAAAAACTCATAAGCAGAAATCCAAATAGAGTACTATTTAAGAGAAATCTTCAAGGACCTTTACCTTTTTTGGAGTTTTATTTATACATCATTTGTGTATTTCCTATTCAATAAAGAAATATTTCTTTAAAACAACACAATGCCAAGCTAGTTTAGCATATGTATCTGAGTGGAATTAACTACTTGCCTGTAAAACACCCTATAAGTTAGAAGGCAATCATTCAAATTAGTTCTATATAATTAAACTTAATGCATTGACATTTGCTGATCAGTTAACACCAGATTATTCATTGCAGAGCCTGACTGGATTGGCATTCAATAGACATGGTTAACACAAATCAAAATCCAGTTTCAGAAGCAGTTTGGAAGTCCTGCCAGGGGAATGTGAAGGAGAAAGGGGTGGAATGCCTATGGATATTCCACACTGAGACCCAGTGAACAAAGTGACTACACATTGTTTGATGGGTATAGTTAACTAGGAACTGAGGGGGAAAGGGAAAGACAAAAGGGGCTCACAACCTCCCCTAATAATGTGGGGTCTAAAAGGCAGGTGATACTGCCAATGCAGTGAGTCCCATGCTACGCTGGGCTGTCTAAAGATGCTTTCCTCGTCACTGATTCAGAATCTCGAGTGGTAAGGCTCACTTATTTTTGAAGACCTCCACTAATAATCTGGCTAACCAGCCAGGTTTGACAATCACTACGTGAAAGGAATAGTTACCCTCTCATGAGAGGGTGTAGGTTTGTCTTAGCTATACCACAACTCTAGATACATTACTCTAAAATTGGGGAAATTCTATTATCTACATGGGGTTACTGCAGGAATCAGGTGGTGTGAAAACACAAGGCAAAAAACAAAAAAGCCTGTGCCAATCACAGAGATGCTATCTTCTCCCCATCCCTGTCCCATTGCTTCACACACATCCAGGCCTTCGCTAAGCAGTGTATTTGTGCTGGCTGTCTCGCAGCCAACTCTCCTTTACCTATGTCTAAAAAGAGTCAGGATCAGAAGTAGGGGGCAAGATATTAACAAAAATAGAATCAGACTCCCAGATGAAGTCGTATGTCAGAAAAGTCAAACAAACAGACATCCAAATAGCGGTGACCTTGTTAACAGCATAGACCAGGGGTGGCAGAGAGGGTAGGGGGTAGGTCATAACCAAGTCCATCACTTACTAGTAGCTGTGTGGCCCTGTGTATATTACTTAAATCTCTCTGAATCTGTTTCCCGATCTGTAAAATGGGAATAGAAACCATATCAAACTCACAAGGTTGTTCTGAGTTTTAAATGAGACAGTCCATGAAAATTGCTTAATACAGTGCCTGGGGTACGTAGTATACATTCAATAAATATTAACTTTTAGTCCCGGAGATAATAAAATTCAAAGACATTCAGAGATTTGACCCCAAGTAATTAAGTGTATAGCCAGGACTACTAACTTAAAAGTCTCTCCCTTTTTTCTGGAGAATACCCAGGAAAGGTAAGAAGTTCTGGCCAGTACATCAGAATGCCGCAGATCCAGCAAAAGTCCTGGGGGAGAATCAAGCCATATCATGCGGTGGGTGGGGAACCCACTAAAAAGCAAGTGCAGAGCATCTGAGTCAGACACTAGGAGTCATTTGTATGCACCTGATCCTCAGAGCCCTTTCCTGTTCTTTGAGGACCCAAGTTCTTGCCATCTCTAGGGGTCTCTGTCAAGAATAGACTTAAGACCACCCAAAGGAAAATGAGGCTAGTGGTAAAGGCCTAGGGGTCTCTCACCTGCACTCCTACTCTTAGGGACAGTGAAAGTGGGAAACACCGTTGGCTTTCCCCCAGGAGACATTGCCCAGTCACCAGCTTTGCCCAATTTCCTTTGAGGAAGCCAGTCTTCTCTGATCTTCACTGTGTCTATGTACAGGATCCTTCTCTCTCTAACCCTTGGTGCCAGTCAGCTCACCAGTACATGAGGTTTTTTGGGGAGTAGACATTTCCTTTTCCCACCTCCACTTCCCTTCTTCCCCCACTAAACTCCCATCTCTCACCTTGTACTCCTGCACCACCTCCTCCAATGGCACCACGCTGTGCTGTTTGTGGCTCCTGGATTCTCGACAGACCACACAGATGGCCTCTTCGTCCACCTCACAGAAGAGCTTCAGAGCTTCTTGGTGCTTGGGACAAATGCCCTGCTCATTTGCACGGCTCCCCCGACCTGGTGCTGGATGCATCTGCCGTATCACCTGGACCATGTTGGCTAGCTGCAGGTTGGGGCGGAAGCTCCGCCTGGGAAAGCTCTTTCGGCACTGGGGGCAGGTGAAGCACCTCCGAGGGGCTGGAGGCGGGGGCAGTGACGTGACAGGGTCTAGCTCCTCTTCCTCATCCTCCTCCAGCACTTCTTCCTCCTCCTCGTCCTCCCCCCTCAGGTCCTCCTCCATGTCCCCCAAGTAGTAGTCCAGGTCTTCTTCCTCATCCTCCTCCTCCCACACATAGTCCATGTTGTCCCAGTTGGACCCACCCATGCCACCGGTCCAGAACACACCTTCCTCTTCCTCCTCGACCTCTTCCTCCAAGTCGCCCTCATAGTCTTCATCCCTCATGGGAGTGTCCCAGCCCCCACCGGCCCCCACAGCCTCCACTTCCTCCTCTTCGCCGTCCTCCTCCTCCTCCTCCTCCCGGTCTAACTCGTCCCTGTCCTCCTCATCCTCCCCTCCCCACAACTGGGTTACACACACTCGGCAGAAGTTGTGCCCGCAGCCGATGGACACGGGGTCCGTGAAGTAATCGAGGCAGATGGCGCACACCGCCTCCTCCTGAAGGGTCTGCACGGGGTTGGGTGCCATGGCAACGGCAGCCATCTTAGTGTCCACTCAGCCAGGGTAGATGGTTCGGGGGGGGGGGCAGGGGGTGGGGGTCTTTCCTCTCAGACGCCCTGACGACCCGGCCCCACCCCCAGCCCTGCTTCTCCACACCTCGCCTCCAGCGCAGCTAGAGAAATATCCTCCCGACAACCCACCCCTTAACAGTGTCCTACTCCCAGACGACAATTGTGTCTCTGCGAGGGGAGAGGACACAGCTGAGCGCTACCGCCAAGTCCCTCAGGTGGCCCTGAGTGCAAATCTGCCCCAACGCTCCCTGGGCCTCCTCATAACCCCCCCTCCCCTCATCACTTCCTGGCTCCGCCCCCTCACTTCCGGCCTCCCTCTCAACACTTCCGGTGCCTGCAAGACACCCAACCTCGAGTTCCTTCCTCGGTCCCGCAACGCTCCTTTCTTCCCGCCCCGGGCCTCGGACAACAGGAAGCGACGAGGGGACGCTCTAGCTTTCACTTGGGTAGAGGGAGGGAGAGCTTGAACGGTAGAGGCCCACATCTCTGTGGTGCGGGGGAGCGAGAAACAGACAAAACAGAAGGACAGACTACGCCCCTTCCCGCCAAGGGGGATAAACTTCGGGAAACAGTAGAAGCCTTTGCGGTCGTCCACTGTCGGTGCTATGACCGCACTGGGCCGGCACTATCCTACCACCGGACATAGATCTGCAGTGAGAACCCCACAGCTGATGCCGGAAGCGGAGGGGCGGGTCTCGGTGAGCGCCCTAAAGTATTTCCGGTCCTTCTAGGCAGAGGACTTGGTTGTTTGAGGACTTGGAGCTTCCCTCGGTGACCATCAGGGCCCGGGGCCTGAAGAAATGCGGTGACTGGGGACCAGAGACCCTTCCCCTCCCCTGTACTATAGCTGGCATCTTCACACCTATTTTAAAAACTGCTGTCTGGTCACTGTCATTTTAGAAAAACTTTCTTAGCCACACGTAAGCAAAGGGATAGTGGCAAGACATTACATGCACTGTCACATAGTGGAACACTCCAGCTGTAAAAAGGAATCCTCTTCAAGATGTATTAAGTGCAAAAAGCAAGGTACCTGACAGTGTGTAGAATGCACTGCCATCTGTAAAAAGGAAGAGGGGATGTTAAATGTATTTGATATTTTTATAGTCCTGTGGTTACTTATATAAAATAAGAGTTTCTGTTATCCTCAATAAATTGTGGAATTAGAGTTAATGTCATGCACAGCGATAGAATGTTGCTTAGCACATAGTGAAATAATATCATTTAGCTACCTCTTAACTATCATCGATGTTGCTTGTCTCTGGAAGAATAACTAGTAGCAGAGGTTCTCTGGGAGTGCCGAGGGTCCAAGATAGGAAAGATACCTTTTCGTATATATCATTCTGTATCTCCTGAGTTTCGAACCAAATAAATGGATTACCTTAAAGACAACACACACACACACACAAACCTTTTATCTCTAAATGCCATTGATTCAGTCATCCATTCATCACTTTCTCAGCTGTGCACTGCTTGTGCTCCGAGGCCAAAATAACCTCGAGGTCTGTTTTCATGGGGTCGCAGTCTCAGAAGAAGAGCTCATAATGGATTTGTGGTATTGATTTTACTTGAGAGAATCCTATCCAAGATGTAGAACTGTATTAGTCAAGGTGTAATTATGAGCATCTAGGTCATAGGTGGCAAACACAAGGCCTGCGGGCCAAATATGACCCTCTACCTTGTTTTATCTAGCCCAGCACCTTGTTTCCACCCAGCAGCAGCACTGAGCTCCTTGCTCCTAGTTAAGGAGTAGTTACATTCATACAGTCCTAAAATTACATTCAGCCCTTTGAAGGCAACTGCCAGGCTGATGTGGCCCCTGGTGAAAATGAGTTTTACACCCCTGGTCTATGTCAAATAGATTATTTGTGCGAGAGAAATAGTACCAGATGCTTTTTTAAATTGTGTCCTTTAATTTTTTAAAAAGACTGCAGAGAAAGATACAGGACCGTAAGTCTTGTACAGAATCCCCAGTGAGTGCTGGTGGTGTGTGATGTCAGGGCAGGGCACTCATAATTTTACCCCCGCCTAGGGGGAAACTCCAGGTGAACCTGTGCTTCTGAAGAGGATGGTGCCAAAACTACAAATCCTCGTGGATGGGCTATATTAGGCCATTCCAGGAGCTGCAAGCCCTGTTGTGGCTCAGAAGTGTGACCGCAAGACCCCTGGCTCAGAGTTTACCTGAGCCAGGGATGGAAGTTGGACTTCATTTTAGCTCACCATTGAGGACTATGGGTAGATTCAGGGAGGTGTTAGTCAAACTTAGACACTAAGGGTTTCCGTAGTGTAGTGGTTATCACGTTCGCCTCACACGCGAAAGGTCCCCGGTTCGAAACCGGGCGGAAACACGCCTTTTGGTCTATTTTCCAGTTCTTCGGTCAATTCATCCCATTAGCTGGAGAACAGGTGGTTGTTACATGGAAGGAAGGTCATGTGTATATCTTATCTGTGTCTGTTTGTGGGAGTTTGTGACTGAAGCGGGACCACAGGAGAGTCAGCTTACAGCAGGCTCTCCGTGAGTGCTCGCAATGTAAATTCAGGTCTCTGACTGCTGCTGATAATCTTTTGATCTCAGAAGCCCACTGGGCTATGTCTCCCACATCCAGGAGCCTAGTGACTAACACAGAGCTAGGCGCACAGCAGGTGGTCCATAATACCTGTACAGTTGGTTCTGAAACTATATTGGTATCCCTGCATCTGAATCTTGGTCCCTTGAGACAGAAAATGCAACCTTACCTGTCGCCCGGCTAGCTCAGTCGGTAGAGCATGAGACTCTTAATCTCAGGGTCGTGGGTTCGAGCCCCACGTTGGGCGTTTAAGTGTCTTTTTGGAAACCATTTCGTTGCCAAAACGACTTTGCACTCTCCGCACGAAAGCCTTCCCAGTTATGTCAGAGCCAGAGCTAGAAAAGTGATCTCCAGTAGCTGAGCGAAGGACCTCAAATTGGAATACACTCCACACCAAAACGCTCGCCGGCCTTAGGGATTTGAGTGAGGATGGGGTGCCGACGGACAAATTCCAGTGTCTGACCCTCCAGCAGCCATTACCGAAGTCCGCCTGCCTACGTTCAGCTAGGACCAAGCGCCTTCTGTTTATCAGAAGACCGGCCTGTCCCAGACTTGAAGCACCGGGAAGGACACGTAGTTTCCTGAAGCTGTGATGGAACCCCAAAACCCCCCCACCTGGACGTTCCTCAGTCTAAATCGTAGCCCGGTGATATGCTAGATATCACCTTACTAGGTGATATAGAGGTCGAGATTCCGTGTTCTCAGTACCACCGCCTGTTTTCCCCACTGTAATGGACCCTCATCTTCAGTATATTCTCTTTATGCTCCATTTTAAGTGTCACTCTTTTTTGCGAGATGTTACTTCGCACATTGCAGCGTCCACATTTGCCCCCACACGTAAAGGAATGAAAAATTACACTTTATTTTGGAACATCCTGACTGACATGAACGCCCTGACGTCTTGTCACAAAATTTTTCCTTAACTGCAATTGAAATTCGATTATTTTGTTGACTATTTCCAGCCTATTTTTTACTTTGCGGCTAGAGAAGTCTCCCCACATACACAGCAAACCACAAGAGGAGGCTGCTGGTCATATAAAGCTGGTTTATTAACCTTGCTAAGAAGGATAGCTGAAGGGGGATGGGTTCTGGAAGTGGTATCCTGAAGCCCCCTGAGAGCAATTAGCACTGGAATAGGTTAGGTTTGTGAAATAGGCAGAGTTGCTGGTTCAGTCCTCTTTCATGCGCCTCTGGGGAGTTACTGTTGCTCTGGTCTTATCTTGCAGTATAAGGGTCAAAAAACCTGGTGTTGGAAGAGTGTGAACTTTGATAGTTCATCTTGCACAAAGGCTTGTGGATTCCATTGCAAATTGTGGGTTCAGGGTAATTTTTAAAAACTTTTATCACCTTCACTGGGATTGTAAAATATTCCTTTATAAATGCTGACTTTTTAATGAAAGGGAAACCATAGCAGTTAAGGTTCTCTTTCCTGTCTTCCCATAATCTGAGTATTCCCGGGAGGTTTTTGCTACAATTCCAGCTTTTCTCTGCTCTCCACTCCTTCCACTGCAGCCCCTCCTGCTGGCCCAGTCTGAAATGCACCCCTCTGAGTAAGTGACCCACACTTCTCTTGGCACAAAGGAGTCAGATTCCTCAGTTCATTTGTTCAGCAAAAGTATAGGATCCTGGCAGGATCTTTGGTCTTTATACTAAAGGGTGATGATAGGCCACAGAGGCAGAGGGACTCACTCTAATTTTCATTTAAGAGTGATCCTTCAGAAATGGTGAGCAGTAGGTATAAGGGAAGTGTGATTGGAAGGATTGCTATAGTCCAGACAAAAGATGGCTAACAAAGGGGTGAGTCAGCAGCCAGTGAAGGAGCTGGATGCATGGTTTGTACCTTGGGCAGTAGAGGGTCTCCTGTGTTTCTTCTTTAGGTGATTTAATAACGGAGTTACAGAGGAGAGAGAAGTCCACAGAAGTCCTCTTTGTTAGTGGTTTTGCTTTCCCTGGTTTCAGTTACTCTGGGTCAACTGTGGTCCCAAAATATTAAATGAAAAAATCCAGAAATAAACAATTTATAAGTTTTAAATTGCTGGCCATTCTGAGCAGCAAGATGAAATTTTATGCCATTATAATCCCATTGGCCCAGGACGTCAATAATCCCTTAGTCCTAAGTATCCACACTGTATATGCTACCCAAGGTTAGTCAGTTAGTAGCCATCTGGGTTATCAGCAGAAAGTCAAGGTGTCATAGTGCTTGTGTTCAAATAAACCTTATTTTACTTAATAATAGCCCTAAAGTGCAAGAATACTGGTGCTGGCAATGTAAAGGAAAGAGCATATTTTGTGGTTTCAGGCATCCATTGGGGGCCTTGGAACATATCCTGTGCAAACAAGGGGTACTACTGTAATGAGTTCAACCTTGAACAGGTTGGGAGATGTCTAAAAGGACACGTGGATCTGAAAGCCTGGGGAGAACGCTCATTGCTGAAGCCCCAGATGCCGGGATAAAAGTTGGGTCAAGCTGTGAGCGAGGATCTGACTCTCCAGGGAAGATGGCCTGCAGTAGATGGAAGAGGAGTTGGAAGAGGAGGGGAACCAGAAGGAAAGCTTCCACCAAGGCCAAGGGAGTCGAAATGTGCAAAAAGGGGGTCAGAGGAACAGATAGGTAGAATTAAATTATGGTCTACTGTGGGAAAGCGGTAAAGCATTCATGGATTGGGATCACTGCTGGCTCCTGGTGACTTGAACTAGGCTGGGCGAGAGGTCCCCTCGCCTGTGCTC